TGATGCCTTGTGAGGCTTGCGTGAGATGCTGACCACAGTGCCAGACAGCCATGCTCAGCCAGAGTTTGGGGATCGGGTAAACGAACGCTGGCCCGAGTGGGTCCCTCACCACCCCTGCTCCAGGTGCCGCCATGCCGCCATCGCCAAGTACTTCGGGGACGCTCCCCCCGCCTGCACCAAAGGCTGTGACTGCTGCCAGAACCCCACGGGCGTGCGGAAGCAGTTGGATGCTTTGGAGCAGAGAAGCAGCTGGAACAAGACCTGCATTGGGCCCTCCCAGGGGAACGGCTATGACCCCGAGCTGTACGAGGGAGGCCGCAGGGGTTATGGAGGCTTTAGCAGGTAAGGGGCCATGAGGCCAGGGCTCCCCCAACCCAGTGGAAATAGTCTGGCATTCTCTCCCTGGGGCCAAGACCAGATCAGAAGTGACACATGCCCCCGCCCCGAGGGCCACGCTGGGGCCAGGACGTCAGTGTTGCCCCCAAGTGTCCAGGGCATCAGAGACATCACTGCTCTACCAGACGCGTGATGGGAGTACAAAGCCCAGACCCAGGACGGCTCATGCCCAGCCTGTCGCCTAGGTATGATGAAGGGTCTGGAGGCAGCGGGGACGAGAGCAGAGACGAGGCCCAGAAGCGGGAATGGAATCTCTTCTACCAGAAACAGATGCGCCTGCGCAAGGTGAAGGGGGTGGGGTTCAGGGGCTCAGGGGCTCTGGGGCTCTGGGTGGCCCCTGCTCACACCCTCTCAGCCCCTCTCTGGTGCTGGACTGGGAGCTGTGTTGCTATGGGGCAGGATGGCTCACAGGACTTCATGTCATCTTCCAGGGCAAAGATCCCAAGACAGAGGAATTCGTACCCCCAGGTCAGTACAGGAATGTACCCTGGGCTGGTCCCAGGGTGTGGGTGGAGGATGCCTCTTTGGGGGATCGGGGATGCCAGAGAGCAGGAAGTAGGGTGGCAGGACTCGCCTCTCCTCCACAGATGAAGACTGTCCCCTGAGAGAGGCTGCCAGTAGGAAGATCCCCAGGCTCACTGTGAAGGTAAGAGGTGGGCAGCTCCCCACACCTGCCCCCAGGCTCTCCCCCGACCTGGGTCCTGTGTGACCCCCTTCTCGCCCCGATGCAGGCCCGTGAGCACTGCCTGGGGCTCCTGGAGGAGGCGCTGAGCAGTAACCGCCAGGCCGCAGGTTCCGCTGATGGGTGAGTGTCGTCAGCCCCCGGCTTGTTTGGGCATGCGTGTGTGCTCTGTCCCTCAGTTGCATCCGACTTTCTGCAGCCCTGTGGACTGTAGCCTGCCAGGCTCCTCTGTCCATGGGATTCTCCAGGCAAGAATACTGGAGTGGGTTGCCATTTCCTCCTCCAGGGGATCTTCCCGACCCAGGGACTGAACCCACGTCTGCTGGATCTCCTGCATCGGCAGGCGGGTTCTTTACCACTGAGCCACCTAGGAAGCCCAGTTTATTTGGGCACCTCTCCCCAAATTGTGACTCATCTGTCTTCACACAGCCCCACCAGGGGCAGGCTTGGCCATGAAAGGCTGCCAGGAACTGCCAAGGGACAGTAAACCACAGCGCCCAGACAGTCCAGGCTGGAATCCCTGTGCCCAAGGCCATTCCCACTGGGCCCTGAAGCCATCTCCAGGGTCCCCTGGGGGAATCTCACAGGGCTGCCCTCAGGCCTGACACCTTAATCTCATTGCTGCCCTCAGACTTGACCTCCAGGCCAAGGCAGTGGAGCTGGAACATGAGACGTTCCGAAATGCCAAGGTGGCCAACCTGTACAAGGCCAGCGTGCTGAAGAAGGTAGGCGTGCTGAAGAAGGGGTGGGTGGGGCAGCTCCCCACCCAGGGGGCCACTTATTCAGGGAGAAGCCTGACTTCCGTCCTTCCCTGGCTGCAAGGATTTCTAGCCAGCCCTCTGGGGGCTAGGTCTTGCCTGGTGTCCAGTTGCCTGCAAGCATGGGCCACGGAACCCACTCATGGAAAGCCTAGAGCTAGCGGGTGCCAGCCAGGGCATTCCCCCCTCCCTCCCTGCCCCAGGTGGCTGAGATCCACAGAGCCTCAAAGGATGGGCAACTCTACGATGCAGGAGGTGGCACCAGCAGCTGCAGCGCCCAGGCCGAGACCCCGGAGCCCACCGAGCGCGACATCCTGCCCACCTCCCAGGTGTACCCGGTGAGCGGCGTCCTCGAGTCTGCCAAACTGACGGCGCCCCGGCCCCTCGCCCCCTCGCCCTGAGTAATGGCACAGTCCTTGCTCCTCCTGGCAACACAGCCCTGACCCTTGCTCTCCCCTGCTCTGGAGCCCCCACAGCACCTCTCTCACCAGCCCGACCCCCAAGCCTCGGCCTGCCCAGCCTTGCCTGCCCAGGCCCTCACGGCCACACCTGGACCCGCCAGCGAGCGCTGGAGGGCCTGTGGTCAGCAGCGTCTCTCCTCCTCGCAGCTCAAGCCCAAGCGGGTGGGAGCTGGTTTCCCCAAAGGCTCCTGCCTGTTCCAGACGGCCACCGAGCTGATGGAGAAGACGTGGGTCCCGGAGCAAGAGCCCCGGCCTGAGCAGGGCGGCGAGCAGGGGGCCCCCAGCCGGCCCTGTGACCACCAGGGTGCGGAGTGTGCTGAGCCCCTCCCTGGGCCCCGAGCAGAGGCCCCCGGGAGCGGTGCTGTTTGTCTGGGGCCCTCCCCTGAGGAGGAGAGAGGCCCCGCCCGGGGCAGCCCCACCGCCAAGGCCCGGGTCAATAAGAGGCAGCAGCTCCTGGCCGCTGCGGCCCTCAAGGATTCTCAGAACATTGCCCGCTTCTTCTGCCGAAAGACCAAGAGCCCGCCCCTGCTCACTGCAGCCCCAGGGGCAGATAGCACCAGCGCCTCCCACGATGGGGCGCGGGGACCCCCGACGCTCCTAAAGAAGGGCTCAGGGCAGGAGGATGGAGCTGTGGGGCGTTTGGCTGCACCCCCCGAGACCACGGCGTGTGCTGAGGAGGGCCCGAGGTGAGCGCATCCCCTTGGCTCCCTGGGTCTCTGCAGCGTGGCCAGTTCCTGCCATGGGCTTTACTGGGCTGCCCAGGCTGAGGGGCAGAGGCGACTGGACCTGACGCCTGCTCCCCCTCTGCCCAGTGCCTGCCTGCTCAGAGACCAGAGGCCCCCCGAAGGCCAGCCCAGCCCCACAGAGGGGGCACAGAGAGGCAAGCGGCCCAGATCTCAGCAGGTACCAAGAGGCACAAGGCTGCCATGCTGGAGCTTGCTTGGGGAGGGGCCTGAGACAACCGTCTCCGCTGTCCACATCCCAGGGCAGACGGGCCGGGCTAGACGGAGCCAGCGGGCGCGGAGGCCCAGTCTGCCAGAAGGAGGGAGGGGCCCAGAACAGCGGACTCCAGAGTGACCCTCTGCTGTGGCCCTGCCCAGGAGAACCCGGGCAGCCAGGCTCAGAAGAGGCCTCGCCCCTCAGCCAAGGCCTCCATCCTAGCTGAGGTGAAGGGCAGCGTCTCAGCCAGTGACCAGAGCCCCTCGAGCCCCCGAGGCTCCTGTCAGCGCTCGGCGCCCAGCATCTCCCTGAAGGAGACTGCAAGCGTGGTGGTCAGGTGCCTGACCCCCTTCTACAAGGAGGGAAAGTTTGCATCCAAGGTAGGGTAGGCGGTGGGGCCATTCTCCCCTGAGCCGGGGGCACTGGGGTGCGGACGGGGTTGGGGAAGTGTGAGCCCAGGACAAGACAAGGTGGAAGCTAGCCAGCCCAGAGGCCTGCGGCCCCCTCCAGGGCCTGCCTTGCTCTGGGCCGTGGCGTGGGCGGCTCGGGGCAGGCCTGTGCTCCTGGCCCCTCCACACCCTCTCTCTCCAGGAACTGTTTAAAGCCTTCGCCCGCCACCTCTCACACTCGCTGACCCAGAACCCCTGTCTGAGGAGAGGCGGTGAGTGTGAGCAGCACCAGCCGGGAGGGACGCGTGGGGGCTCCGCTGGGAGGGGACTGGCCCTCACGCCCACCCCCCGCCTTGAATCTAGTGAAGGAAGAGGCGCAGGACATCATCAAGCAGTTGTTTCACGGCCGAGCCCGGTGCGAGAGTGAAGCCGACTGGCACGGCCTGTGTGGCCCGCAGAGATGACCGATGGGGCCCGCGTTCCCGCCCGCCCCCAGACTCCAGCGTGGCCCACCGGGCCTTGCTCAGGACCAGGGATGGTGGGTGGCCTGCTCTCCGGCTCTCCCCGCTTCCGGCCACACCTCACTTTGGAAATGGGCCTGGACACCTCCCAAAGCGAGGTCAGCCCACCTTTCTTTTTGCTCGCAAAGCCTGAGGTCCTCTTTCTCCTCGCCTCCCTGCCTCCCTGGCCCTCGTGGTTGGGTTTTCTGGGCCAGATCCCCAGGTGAGAAAGGGGCATGTGGTGTGGCGGCTGCCGGGGAAGGAGAAGGAAAACGGTCCCTCCACCTCTTAAAACACTTTAAACTCAGGGCGAGGCCCAGCAGGCCAAGGCTATGGAGCCGACTCAGGAGGAGCCCCTGCTGCCCTCAGTCCACCCCACCGCCCTCTCCCCTCATGATGCTGCCTGCAGCCCGCCCTGCCCGACTCAGCTCCTGGTCAGGAAGGCCAGGAGGGACATCAGCATTTACAGGAGAATAAAGTGTCCGGTTCTGACACTCACGCGCTCAGCCCCATTCTCTCAGGAGTTTTATTTCCTCAGCAGCTGCTCTTCCTAGGTCTGGGCACGTGCTGATGTGGGGCCAGGGCCCAAGTTGACATCTCCCCCAGGCTGGGTGACCCCCCAGACACCCAAGCCGAGTTCCTGCAGTCCCCACTGCAGGCCCACCCCAGAGTGAGGCTCGCAGCACTTCCCCAGTTGAAGTCACTGTAGCAACCCCACTGGGGGCCGTGCTACAGTGGATTCCAGGACAGCCAAGCAGTGAAGTCCAAACCAGACTGGCCTGACCGCACCCAGAGGAGACTGTCCAGCTGAGACGTGGGCCGGGGAGGGGTCCCGTCTCCGTCTCTGCCCCCCCGCCTTGGGTGCAGCGCAGCTGCTAACTGGAAGGAGGGTTGCCGTCCAGCAGGAAGGTGATGGTGTGCTTCAGTTCCTGGGCCTGTGCGGGTGTGGGCACATGAGGGCAGGGCTCCCCCACCAGCCCCCCGCCTCTGTCCCCCAGCCCTGCCACGCCAGAGCCCTGGGCAGCAGCCTGTGCTCGGGCAGCCGGGCACACTGGGCCTGGGTGAGGCACTCGCCACCTTCTCAGGGCATGTGGAGGCCACCCACCTGCGGAAGCTCAAACCAGATGGTCTGGGGGCTGTCGGCTGAGCCGTAGTTGAGTTCCAGGCCAGGGGAGCCCTCCGCCTCCAGCGGGCTCAGCAGGTGGAGCCGCTGCAGATCCCTCAGGGCGACGGAGCAGCACAGCTCCTGGGGGTGGGGTCAGTGTCGGGCGTGGGAGACCAGTGCCCCGAGGGTGCCCAGGCCGGCACGGGGGCAGGAGCCCGGCCCACCTGGGAGCTGGGGTCCATGAGGACGAGGTGCTGGCGGTTCAGCCCCAGGAGGCCGGGGCTGGGCAGGGCCGGATTGCTCACTCGCAGCACCATGTAGACCGTGTACCCGAAGAGGGGCAGCTCGCTCACGGCCTCTGCAGACAGACAGCAGGGCTGGTGGAGAAGCTGCTCAGCCCCTCTACCCTTGCCCCTCCTTCCTGGGTGCCCCCTTCCCCGCTCCCTGGCTGTACCCCTGCCCCAGACCCACTGATGAAGCTGATCTGCGCTTCCTGGGAGCTGCATCCTTGTAGCTGCCTCAGTTCCCGGCCCATCAGGCTCTTCACAGTGGCCATGTTCATCTGCCGTTGCTGCTGCCATTGCTGCTGCCTCGGCAAGTAAGCCAGGAGGTCTTGCCTAGGACACAGCCTGGTCAAGTGAGGCTGGGCAAACAGCTGGTGCTAAATCAATCAGCCAGTGACTACCATGGGTGAGACCAGGGACCCAGACACATGGATGATGTGTGGGCCATGCCCTGGAGGAACGTGGGGCGGGATGGGGGACAGGTGTACATAGCCCGCTGGGTTAGGGCCATGAAGGGCACCAGTGGCCTCGACTTTGGAGGAGGGGGTAAAGGGGTGGCAGGAGGCATGGGGGCTGCGTTCTGCTCACTCTGAGGGGAGCTCCTCCTCGTTCCTGCTGAGCCGCTGCAAGGCCGCCAACCTGGCAAGCCGGGCGTCGTCCTGGGGGCTGAGCCCCAGCTTCCCCTGGAGGTAGTCCCGCAGCACCTGAGCGGGCGGGGGCGGCTCCTGAGCCTCGGGCCCACTGCTGCCACCCCCTTCTCCTTTGAGGGCAGGCCGTCTTGGGAGACCCCTGCCCAGGCAGCTGAGGCTGGCACCACCATGCAAGGCTGACCTGGCCGTAGTGGGTGCTGATGTATGTGGGATTGTCAAAGTGCAGCCGGGTCTCCCAGCCGAGCCGCCGACTGTGCAGGCTCACGCCCGGACCCCCCAGCACGCTGTTGAGGTACTCCTGGGGCCACAGGGGCCGGACCAGCTCACCTGCGCGGGCGAGTCCAGGTTGACAACCAGAATGGGCTTACCAGGGCCAAGCCCCGCCCACGGCCTTGCCAGGCCCTGCCCACGGCCCGGTCAGCCACGCCCACGGCCTTGCCAGCCCCAGGCGTAGGAACTGCCTCAAGGCCACAGTAGTGGAATCCACCTGGACCATGCTTCCTCCCCAGCCCGGGTGGCTCACCGTCGCCTTTGACGAGGAAGAGGGCAAACTCCTGCGCTTCCTGGGGGTCCGTGATGCCCATTTGCCTGCACAGCTCCTCCAGCACCTCTGCTGCCACCTAGAGGTGTGGACAGGGCTGCGACGGGTGCCGGGGAAGGAACGGGGCTGCGGGCGTGTCAGGGCTGTGATGGGGGTGCCGGGGAAGGAACGGGGCTGCGGGCGTGTCAGGGCTGTGATGGGGGTACCGCGGAAGGAACGGGGCTGCGGGCGTGTCAGGGCTGTGATGGGGGTTCTGGGGAAGGAACGGGGCTGCGGGGGTGGGGGGTGTCCCAGAACTGAGACCTATGGCTTCCTGTGTCTCCCTGCACCCCCCCCCTCCCCGCCCCCATGGCCCTGCACTCACTGTGAAAGTGCGGATATTGGTCTTGTAATCCACACCCCCAGGCAGGTGAATTAGGACCAGGTGGACTACTTGTCCTTTCTGCTAGGGCAAGCGCAGGGTCAGTCCACCCGTGGAAAGAGGCCCAAGCTCCTGCCACCCACAGGGAGTCCCGGAACACCACCCGGCCCGCACCCCCAGTACCAGGAAGGCCTGCATCTCGCTTGGGGAGGGCAGCCGCCGGCGCCCCCCGTACTTGACTGTATGCTGGAGGTGCTCCTGGCTGCTCTGGGCCAGCTCTGCAGAGAGGAGCCAGGCCGGGCCATGAGCGTCTCTCAGCCCCTCCCTGAGCTGCCGAGACCCCAGCCGGGAAGCCCCCCGCCCCCGCCGCCACCGGCACCTTGGCGAGGGCCCCAGTCCTGCAGAAACTTGGTCACGTAGGGCATCAGTGTGTTCGATGGGGGGACATAGCCCGTGAGGAGGCTGAGGAAGCGCCAGCCTCTTGCACCGAGTTTCCTGCAGGGCAGAGGGCCTGGGCTTCAGGCTGGCCAGGCTGCGGCGCTGTGCTTTCCCCGAGAGGCCCGCCCCTGCTCCCCTACCCCCGTCCCCCACTCACGGCCGGGGGTGTCCCGTGACCTGCTTGATGGCCTGACAGTAAACCTCGTCCCTGAGGTCCTCCTCCTCCTGGCAGAGCTGTGGGGACAGGAGGGGCAGGGCAGTGGGGATGGCGTGGGATCTGAGGTCAGAGAGATCCTGCTAATGGCCACGGTGGGGGCAGGGGGGCAGGTCGGGGTGACAGCCCACAGTCCTCTGTCGGGCTTGGTCTCACTCGCCTCAACAGCATCTGCACCTCTGGCCATTCGCCAAGTCACCGACTTCACCCGCCTCCAGGCTGAGCTGGGTCCTCTCCTCCTCCTCTGGTCATTTCGGCTGACTCCCCTCACCTCCGGGACCTCTAGAGGCTGCAGTGCCCTCGGGCCTCTGTCTGAACTTGCTCCCTGGTGACCTGAGCTGCTCACATCTGCTCATGACTCCCCGGGCCTGCCTCCAGCCCAGGCCCTCCACTTGAAGACTGGGACTTCAGACTTCATGTGTCCCCAACAGATTCCGCCACAGGCCAGCCCTGCTCCTCACTCAGCCGTCCTTGTGGGAGACCAGCCAGTGCCCTGGCCAAAGCCTTGGTGTCATCCTTGGCCTCTCTGTCTCACGCCCCACGTGCACTTCATAGCAAACCCTCCTGCTGCCTCTGGGCCTGAGCCGCACCATGTCTTACCTAGGATCATGGCAGTAACTTGTCCCTTGCCCGTAAACTCCCAGAATCGCAGACAACAGCCAGAGCAAACCCATGAATTGTAAGCCACATCTGTCTTTCAAACTCTCCAGTGCTTTCCCCGATCTTGAAAACTCAGAAGTCCTGACAGTGGACAGCAAGGCCTCTGCGCCCTGGATCCACTGTCCTTGGTCCTCACCTTCCATTCCCCATCGCTTGCTGGGGCCAGGCTCCTCCTCTCACCAGCCCACACGCACTGCCCCCAGGTGCTCAGGCCTCACTCCCTGGCCTCCTCCAGGTCTCTGCTCCAAGGTCATCCTGTCACCAAGCCTGCTGCACCATAGCAGCCCTGCCCCTGCTCTATCGCACTCAACGGTGCTCTTGGCCCCAGGCAAGCTGAATCATGGTTTACTGACCATCTCCTCTAGGTTGTAGGCTCTATGGGGACTTGACCAACTTGGCCAAGTTGTCCTGAGCACAGCATGTAACAGGTGCTCAGTGAATATTACTGGATGATTTGAGCATGTAGCGACCAAGGAGAGGGGATGCCCTCAAGGCCCAGCAGGAAGACCAAGAGGGGCCCCCAGGGCTCACTGTCTTCCCTGCAGCTTCTGGCACATTCAGCCCGTGCTCACCTTCAGCAGCCCATAGAGGAGATCCAGCTCATTCTTGCCCCGCGGCTTGGACTGGTCCCCCATAAACTGCATCAGAGCTGTGGGCAGGACACGATGCATGGTGAGCCAGGACAGGGGCCTAGTTCTGGCTTGTGCTGCCATCACTATGAGGGGCCATCTCATGCCTTGCTGTCAAGATGTATGGGAGCCAGGCAGAGTGGCAGTCCCGGCCTTACTAGTGAGACAGGGTTCAGAGATTCTGTGGGCCCCAGGGCTACACAGAGCGCAAAGCGAGCCGGATCCACCACTGCCTTCCAGCCCAGACCCCACACAGGCCGCAACCACTTGAGCATGAGTAGAAGTGGGGGGGGCGGTATGCGGCACAGGAGCCACTGGTGCGCCTCCCCAAGAAGGGAAACTCAAGAAGGTGGCTGGACTCCTAGGTTGCAGGCACAGGGACCCAAGAAGCTGTGGCCACTCACCCTGGAAGCTCTCCACAGCTTGCCTATTTGTGTCCTCGTCGCTGAAGCTGATGAGCGATTCCTGGATGGGAGCCTGCGGCCAAAGAGGCTGGGCTGTAGGTCTGGGGCCGGTGGGGCAGGGCCCGGGGGCAGGTCCGCAGGCCTGGCTCCCCCCACCGTCCCCTTTACCTTGCTGTACTGCACCAGGCTGGCCATGGCCTTCTCAGCATCTCCACCGGTCTGTGCCGGCCTGAGGGGGCACCGGGAGGGCATACCCACTTGCTCAGCCCTCCCACCCCCATCCCAGGCTGGGTCTGGAGGGTACAGAGACCCTTGGCCTGGGGGGCTTTAAGCATGGAGGCCTGCTTCAGGGGGACTGAGGATGGACTGGTACGGGGCTGTGGGGAGGGCAGGAAGGGCACTCACAGGGTCTGGGGTTTCCGGAAGTAGCGCAGGGCAAACTCCTGCATGGTGTAGTCGGAGTCCGTGGGCAGGGTGACGTAGGCCACAGAGGGGGACAGGCTGGTGGCCGAGTTGTCACTGCGCGCCTGGCTCCAGGGGTGGGTGGGCAACTTAGGAACACAGGAGATCTGGTGCCACCCGAGGGTCCGCTGGCCTGTCCCGAGGCCCTGCCCCAGCCCCCAGCCCCGCCCACCCCAAGAGGAGCAGGCAGAGCCGCTGCAGTGAGCACACCACCAGAAGCCAGGAAGGTCAAGAGCCATTTATTGAGCATTTTCCAGGCGCCACTGAACTAGGTACCATGAGAGGCAGACAGCCCCGCCCCTGCCCACGGGGAGCTCACAGTCTTGCTGGGGAGAGACAGGGAAAGAAACCGGGAGCGGGCGGAGGGACAGCACCAGGCCAAGCGCTGCCCACCGGGCCGGGGGGTGGTCCTCAGCTGCCCGGGAGCCACGGAGCCCTTTCCTCAGCTCCTAGTGAGGCCTTGCCTCTGCCTCTCCCGTCTTCCTCACCTCCGATGCCCTATCCCACTCTCTGCGCTGCAGCTGACCCTTGTGCCCCCGGCCGCTCCTCTGCTCTGTCGAGAAGGACGAGTCCGGAGCAGCTGCTGGCTGCACGACGTCAGCAGGGAAGAGTCCGGAGCGGCCACCGGTGGAGCCGAACTGCCAGCCTAGAGATGTCCAAGGATGGAGTCTCACCCACCCGGCCTCCCCCACCCCGGCCCACCGGAGGTGCCACCTTGTCTGCCCGCCACCCTGCTCGCCCCGTGGGTACCTGGCTCCAGGGTAGCCACCGGCAGCAGCTTGATGAGGTCCCCACGTTGGAAGCTGAGGAGACTGTGGTCGTCGGTGATGTAGCTCCGCAGGGCGATGACGTAGCCGGAGTCCTGCAGGCGGGCGGGCGGGCGGGTAGGCGGGTGAGGGGCCAGCCTGCTTGTGACCCCTTCCTGCCTGTCCCCCCTGCTCCCCTGCTGGCCTCACTCTCCACCCAGCGTCCCTGGCAGGGACGAAGGAGCATGGCTGACGCCCTGAGACCAGCCAAGGCGGCCTGGGCAGCAGGCAGCAGCGGTGGAGGCCCCCTGCCAGCCCACACTTGCCTTCTTGAGTTCGCTCAGGAAGAGCTCGACCATGGCCTTGATGGCTCCTGCCCGGGCCGTGTGCAGCACCAGCTGTTCACTCTTCAGCGACAGCTCCAGGGTGGAGCCGGCCGGGCACTCCACGCCCAGCACCTCAGCAAAGCTGCGCCAGGGTGACGGCATGAGCCGGGGGGCCGTTCCACCAGCCCACCCCGGCCCCAGCCCCGGTCCCCACTCACCTGTACGAGCAGAGAGTCTTCAGCTGGTCGGGGTGCAGGCTGGGGCCCTGGGTCACCTTGAGCAGTCTCAGCCCCCGGTGGGACACAGCCAGCAGCTGCACATCGCTGCCGCTCTCGCCCTGCCCGGAAGGCGGGTGGGTCACAGCCCGGCTCCTGGCTCCAGGCCACCGTCCACCCAGCCCTCCCCGGCTCTCATCCTGCTGCCAAGGAATCCAGCTGGCACCTAGTCCACTGCCATCCCCAACCTCACTGACCGAGACAGGGAAGAGGCGGGAGAAGTAATTGGCCCAGTTGTCCCTGGCGGCCAACACGATGCGCTTCTTGACGCCGTCCTCAGCCGTGTCCAGTGAGTCCAGGCCCACCTCCAGGTCTCCTGTGGGCAGGAAGAGCCCCAGCCTGTCCTCAGGCTGCTTCACAGCGGGGACCCCAGCATTTACTCCCTCCCTCTGGACAGGTCCAACCCCCGTCACTCCAGCTCCCTGAGCCTCCCGTGGTTCCTGGACCCTACCCAGCAGGTCTTTCATCTTGCGCCTCTCGTCCCGGGAGATGCGGATGCAGGACTCAGCAAAGGTGTCCCTTAGGATCTGGGGGCAAAGCCAGGCATTCGCCACCGGGTCCCGACGCCTCAGCCCGCCCCAGATGCAGCCACGCATGCAGGAAAAGCTGCAGGGCCCCCATGGGCACGACGCTGAGGGACGCAGGGGCTTCCAAGCTCAGGGCCGCATCCATGCGGAGCTCCCGCCTGCCCCCCCGCTGCCTGCACTAGTCGGGCTGCTGCTCCTCCTTCAGCTAAGCGTCCCTGAAAGAACAGACCTGGGGGAGGAGGGGGTGCTGTAGAACTGGGGGGAGCAAACATGAGCCTCTGGGAGCATCCACAGTTTGGCAGGCAGGCGCCAGTGAGCACCTGCTGTCTGCCTGGCCTGTGTTGGGTGCTGCATATGCTTCATTTTGAATCCTCGTTATGAGTCAAAAAGGGGCTTCCCTGGTAGCTCAGACAGTAAAGAATCTGCCTGCAATGTGGGAGACCCAGGTTCGACTTCTGGGTCGGGAAGATCCCCCGGAGGAGGGCATGGCAACCCCCTCCAGTCTTCTTGCCTGGAGAATCCCATGGACAGAAGAGCCTGGCAGGCCACAGTCCATGGAGTCGCAAAGAATCGGACAGGACTGAGAGACTCACACACAGAAGTCAAACATGGTCCTCATTCTGAGGGATGTTGTGAGGAGTAAATAAAGGGAGGCAGGACTTGAAACACACCCGCGCCCCACGGTGGTAACCTGGCCAGGGGTGGGGAGGGTGGTCTGTCTGCACATACCGCAGCGGGGCTGGGTGCTCACCTGCTCACAGAGGAGGCTGAGGCAGTAGGGGTGGCCGAAGTTCTCCCGGGGGTAGAACACCTGGACGGGGGCACGGGAGAGTGAGAGTGGGCGGGGGTGGTCCCCCCGCCAGCCCGGCTCCCTGCCCCACCTCGCCTCCTGGGCTCAGAGGAAACAAGGCAAGGAGGTGGGCGGTGGGGAGCCGACGCTGGGGTCCCAGGCTGGCTCCCCCACCGTCTGTGCCTTGTCCCCCACCCAGAGAGGCCGGGTTGAAGCCCACCCTGGTGCCCACCTCCTTGCGCAGGAACAGCCTCCAGGGGGCGCTGGCATAGGAGAAGCACACGCTGCCTGAGGGCACGAGCAGCTGGGTGGAGACCCCCTGGTCCCCCATGGGCTCCACCAAGCCTGGCGGATGGAGTGGCCAAGGAGCATCGGGCGTGGGCCTGCCTGGGGGCATGGGGTGACGGGGGCACAGGCAGAGAAGGCCGTCCTCCCCAGAGCCCTGCACGCCGGGCCGGCTTCACCTCTGCCGCCTCCCTCCCATCTGCCGTCCCAGCTCCCGCCTGCAGCTGTCCCAGACGTGCGTGGGCCCTCCCTGACCACGTCAGCAGGGCCACTAAATTCCTGACGAGGCCAACGCCCTGTGTGTGACGTCCGTCTGTGCCAGACAGGCCCCAGGGGTGCCCCGGCCCTGCCCCCCGCAGGAACGCGGAAGCTGGGGCTCCTTGCCCACGGCTCCAAAGTCCGAAAGCCCGAGCTGCTGACCTCGGTGCTGTGAGCTCAAAGAGGTCCTTGGGAATCCCCCCCCGCCACCGTGCCCCCCTCAAAGCCCACCACACAGGAATGTGGGGTTCCTTACTGCGGGGCTCAGCTGGAGGGCTCGCTGGCTCCCAGGGCGGGGGCAGTGGGGGTGCAGGCGGAGGCGGGAGTTTCTGGGCAGTCGGTGGGTTCTGGCCAAACAGCTCTTGAAGGGGCCCCTGCTTCTCCTTGATGGAGCTGGAGGGCATCAGCCGTGGTCGGGCCTTGGGTCGAGGGGCCACGGCCGGTGGGGGGGCCTTCCCTGGGCTGGGGGACACCGTCTGGGGAGGCACAGGGAACACACACAGGCTCTGAGCCGGGGCCAGGGTCACCCCAGGGAGCCTCAGGAGGACTCCGGAGCAGGGCGGCCACGCTCTGGACCCGACGGCACCTCACCTGCGGGGGCGAAGAGGCACCACTGATCCCCAGCTTAGCCAGAGCCTCATCCTTAGGGTTGTTTTTCTTCAGGAAACTCTGGGAGGGCTTCCTGAAAGAAGGAAGAGGTCAGGAGTTCACAGGGTGACTCTCTGGGGAGCGGTTAGCCCCTCCTCCCTCCCCTCCCCCTTCCCCCTTCCCCCGGCACCTCGCTGGCTGCACCGGCACAGGCACGGGGCCGGGGCGGCTCTGGTACATGCGGATGATGTTGCGGATCTCCCTGCTGGGCTCTGCCCGCCAGGGCTCAGGGTCCGAGCTATGTACCACGGCTCTGCCCTCGGCTGGCCTGTGCCCCCTGCCAGGCCCCGCCTCCGTGGCCGGCTCAGCCTCAGCCTCCTGTTCAGCTTTGGCTGCACTTCGCGTTGGTGGTGGCGGCTTCTTCACTACCCGGGGAGGCGGAGGTGAGGGCCCTGCCCAGGAAGAGAGGAAAGACGTGAGACCCTGTGCAGAACCGCAAAGGCCCAGCCTGCCCCCCCGCCTCCTCACCACCTGCTCTCTGCTCCTCCTCTTCCGGCTCCTCGTCCTGCACCTCCGCCTGGGGGAGCTTCACCTTGGCTGGAGGCTTCATGGTCTTCACCGTGATCGGCTGCTGCCCTGTAAATGCCCCAGAGGGTCCTGCCTATTACCTTCCGCTTGGCCCGCCCCTCTGAGCTTCGCTGGTAGCTCAGACAGTAGAGAATCCCGCCTGCAGTGCAGGAGACCTGGGTTTGATCTCTGGGTTGGGAAGATCCCCTGGAGGAGAGGGCATGGCAACCCACTCCAGTATCCCTGCCTGGAGAATCCCCATGGACAGAGGAGCCTGGTGGGCTACAGTCTGTGGGGTCGCAGAGTCACACACGACTGAGCGACTAAGCACATGGGCCTCCTGGACGGGCCACCCTGACCAGAGGGCACCCCGCCGTGCCCTGGCCAGGCGGGGGCGGCGTCTGAGTCTCTGCGTGGGACTGCCTCCCCAAGGGCGCTCACCCAACTTCTGGAAATAGTCTCGTTTCTGCTGGAAGCTCCTGGGCCGTGGGCACCTGTCTTCAGCCTCCTGCGGGGTCTCCTGCTGGCAGGAAGGGGACGAGAAGGAGCAGCCCTGCCAGCTAAGTTGCCACTCACAGCACACGCACTTGGACCCGCCGGGCCGAGGCCGGGCAGCATCTCTTCTGCGTCGCCCTGTGGCCCCATCCCCAAGCCCCCACATCTCCCATGTCTGCAGCCCTGAAGCCAGCTGCCCATGGGCCCTACCATCTCCCCAGCCTTGGCTCCTCACCCTCAGGCGGGCACCTACCAACTCCAGGCCACTTTCTGGCTCCTTCCGGGTGGTGGGTGTCTTCTTGGGCTTGTGGGTGATGGCCGGAGGAGGTGAAGTTGGGGAGACTGCTCTAGGGGCAGGGGCTGGGGCTGGGGCCGGGGCCGGGGCCAGGGCCGAGGTTGGGGTTGGGGCCGGGGCCGGGGCCAGGGCCAGGGCCTGACTCTGCTTCTGGAGTTGCTTTGCCTGCTGCTCCAGGGACAAGGTCATGGCCTGGGTGGTCATCTGCTGGGCCTGATGGACGGGGCATGGTGCGTCAGATGAGAGCCGGCCTTGCCTCTCCCCACAGGCCGGCACCCACGAGGTGATCCGTGGGCCCCGCCCGTCCTCACCAGGATCCGCGCCTGCTGGTTGATGAAGTCCTGCTGCTGGGCCGCCAGCTGCCTCGCGTCCACGCTGGGAAGCACAGGCTGTGGCTGTGGTGGTACCATCATGGCTGGGGGTGTGGCGGGCAGACAGGCAGTCAGGGTGGGTTAGCGCCATGGCCGAGCTCCCAGCCCCCTGCCCACTGTGCCCTCCAGGTGGGACCTTCCCTCCTCCAGTCCCTGCCTGCCACCCCTCCCCCGCCCCAAAAACGGACCAGGCGGCCACAGTCCAATCTTACCTGGGACCGGCCCCATGGCTGGCATCATGGGCATGGGTGCTGGCATCATGGCTGGCTGGTAGCTGGGCATCTGCACCATCCCTGGGTACACTGCGGGGACAGGGTCCTCCCATGTCAGTGCCCACCCGGGCCCCCAGAGAGCCTCCCTCCAGCCCCAGGCAAGGAGATGAGCACGGGCCAGAGGGGTGCGGATGGGAGCTCAGACAGCAGCTACGTGGGAAGCCCGGGCCGTGCCTCCCCCTGACGTGGGCAGGGAGACCCCGGATGGGGCTCAGCCCCGCACTCACCCACGGGGTAGCTGCCTTGCTGCATGGGCCCGATGGCACCCCCTCCCTTCATGCGGCCACTCAGAGCCCTGCCTCGCTCCAGATCCTGCGGAGGCAAAGGTCACAGGTCAAAAGGTCAGAGCCAGAGTCCTAGGAGGGCCGGGAGGGTCAGCAGAGGCCCCAGGGGGCTGGGCTGGGGTGCAGGACACTCACGCTGAGGCTGGGGGAGAGGACTGGCTCGAAGAGGTGGTCCAGGAAGCCGTCCAGACTCCCTGAGCTCCGGGACTCACCTGTGGGAGGTTGGCGTCACCTGCCGAAGGCAGGGGCTTCCTGCAAACCCATTCTCATCCCCCTGCCTGCCTGAGGGTGCCCACTCCCCGCCTTACCTGTATGCCCCGTGCTGGGCAGTGCTGGGGCTGGACCCGGAGGGGGGCCTGGGGGCAGTGAGGGGGCCTGGACGCTGGGGGCCAGGGGGATGTTCTCAGCTCTGCAGGAGACAGTGGGCCCAGCTGAGGGTTTGGGGGCCACCTCCAGCCAAGGAGGCCCAGCTAAGGAGGTGGGGTGCCCAGGCTGAGGCAAGGTGTAGAAGCTGCTGTGGAGTGGGGGCGGAGGGTCATCCCCACGGGCTGGGAGGAGGCTTGGGGGCGGGTCCCGCAGCAGCACCAGGGAAGCCCAAGGTACGACAGGGTGGCGGTGGGGTCACCTCCGACAGGATACGGACAGGAGCAGGCCAGTGGTGCTGGGGTGGCACCTACCGGCCACGGGGGGCGATGGGGTAGCTGTGGGGCCAGGCCGGGTCCCCCGGGTCCTCGGTCTGGCCGATCAGGTCCAGCACGAAGTCGCAGCCGGCCAAGTCCCTCCAGGAGTCCCCGCAGTGCAGTGACACAGACCAGCCGCGCGGGGGCGCGTCCAGGCCTCTGGGCGAGACAGGGGCAGGGAGGAGAGGGTGGTCAGCCAGGCGGGTGACCATCTGGAAGCCGCAAGGACCTGGAGGTGCAGCAGGGGGAGGCGCTTGCAGAGGGGGGCAAGAGGACCCGGTTTCCCTTCTTTTTCTGCAAATAAAAGGCCCTCTACCTCTGCGTCGGCTCTGAGGTATTTATTTTTGTTTCTTTTTATGTATTTTTCTGCTGCATTTATTCTTCTACCAATTTGATCAGAGTCTGGGCCAGATCTAGCAGGAATGCTCCCTACTCGCTCTCCATCTAGAATCTGCTGTCTGGACCCTGCCTGCCGACCCCCCCCACCTCGCCCCCCCCCCCCCACCCCTTGGGCAGCAGGCCTTGGCCTGCAGGAGCAGCCACAGAAGATGCTCGGCGGGACAGCGGGCTGGGAGGGTGAGGAGGACTCAGGAGGAGGACGGGACAACGGTCAGTGTTGGCCAGACTCCCCCATTCCCGGCCCCCAGACCTGCTCTGTAGAATCCACCCGGCGAACTGCTCCCCTGTGGTCCAGGACTCTACCTCGGCCGAGTAGCACTCCGCTGCAAGGATGAGGGGCGGGGGTCAGAGTGAGGGACAGCAGGGTCCACCCTGACGGGGAAAGGGGTGCTGTCCCGTGGGGGTCCCACTAGCAGGACGGCAGGGAGGTCAAGGTCACATCGGGAGGTCAGGACCACATCGGGAGGGCTGAGGCAGGAAGGGGGTCTGGGGGGGCGAGGGTGCCAGGCAGACTCTGCCGCGGGAGCCCTGAGCAGGAGGCACGTCTCACCGCTGAAGGTGGACACGTCCAGCGCCATGCGGCCCCGCCTCCATCCGGCCGTCCACTCGAGCTGGGTGGGAGGGTGGGCCCGTGCGGACCCAGGGGCCAGCTGCGTCTGCTCCAGGGCCCCTAGCAGCTTGTGTTGGCACAGCGCTGCCATGCCCCTGGGGGCCTGGTCGGACACAAACCTGCGGGTGCAGCATAGGGCTGCTATGAGCCTGGGGTGGCCTGCTGACCCGCCCACAGGCCCCCCCTCCACTGAGCCCCCTACTTGAGCAGTGGCTTCTGCAGGGTGTGCATCGGCGGGAAGGCGCTGAGCAGGACGGCCATGAGGGCCCAGCCGCGCTGGCTCTGCTGCTCGTCGGGGTTGTGCCAGAGCTGGGCCACCAGCTGGCTGAAGAGCTCGTCACGCAGCCCCGGCCGGCGCTGCCCCTGCCGCACCAGGTACTGGCCCATGGTCTGCTCCTGCCAGGGCGCCAGCGACCCGTCCGCCAGCAGCCGCAGCATCTGCGGACACCAAGCCAGGGGAGGCAGGTCGTGCAGGGCTCCCTGTGCCCACCAGCACCCCGCATGGGCCCACCCTGTCCCCTCCCCACTGGGTCACTCACCACCTTGTTGATATCCAGGGCATGCTGAGGGTTTTCACCATCCAGCCGAGTCAGGGGCTTGGTCAGCAGCTGCCCAGGGTGGGGCAAGGAGGGCTCCTGCAAGGAAGGAGGGTGCCACATGCCTGAGCAGAGGCTGACCTGTGCTGACTTGCCAGACACAGGCCCAGGGGAGCCCCGAAGGAGCGTATGAGAGGAAGACGGGCTGGCGAGGAAAAGTGAAGTTGCTCAGTCGTGTCCGACTCTTTTCAACCCCATAGACTGTAGCCTACCACACTCCTCCGTCCATGGGATTTTTCCAGGCAAGAGTACTGGAGTGGGTTGCTATTTCCCTCTCCAGAGGATCTTCCTGACCCAGGGATCGAACCCAGGTCTCCTGCATTGTAGGCAAACACTTTACCATCTGAGCCACAATGGAAGTAGAACCACCTTAAAAATACACCTTGATTGGGCTTCCCTGGTCCAGTGGTTAAGAATCCACGTGCCAATGCAGGGAGCACTGGTTTGTTCCCTGGTCCAGAAAGATCCCATGTGCCATGGGGCTACTAACCTCGTGCATCACAACTCCTGAGCCCGCACACCACAACTACTGAAGCCTGCCCCCTAGAGCCTCTGCTTCGTAACGAGAAAAGCCACCGCAATGAGAAGCCTGCTCGCCGCAACCAGAGAGTAGCCGCAGCGCCCTGCAACATGGAAAGCTCTCAGCATCAGAGACGCAGCACAGCCAAAACATAAAAATAAATATTAAAAAACATACACCCCAATTACTCTTTCTGATTAGAAAACTAAAGCCCGTGCATGCGGAAAACTCAGAAAACAGGAAAAGGATGAAGAATAAAAACCACCATCAATATGCCAGTGCCAGGTATAACCAGAGTTAACATTTTCACCTCTTTCTTCCTAGTCTTACTTCCTGTGTGAAGTTACACACGTCATCTCCCCACCCGCCCGGCTGTTGTCCAGAACATCGGGACCGTGCTCGATGACGTGCACTTTTGAATCCTGCTTTTGTTTCCAACACTGTTGCCTGGACACTCTGCCTTGTCATTAAACATGCTTTAACGACACGACTTCAGCGTTCAATGGCAGGGCGATGCCACAGGTGTAACAAAGGTGTGGCATCTCTGATAAGTAACAATAGAGTGAGATGTGGGTTCAACGGATTTTCCGAGCAACACAGTTGCATCCACAACCCCCACAACAGGAGATGGAGAAGGAGGTTGGAGAAAGAAGGACAAACACAGCTTCTGCCTGTTTGGGGGCTTGTGTCTGGGGAAACGTGGGCAGCAGCCAGCAGAGCTAAGGCCTGGGAGCCCACCTGAAAGCCGATGGAGATGAAGCTGGAGAAGGGGAACTGGTTGATGTCAGGCGGGAGGGTCAGGCTGGGCCGGGCGGGAACTTCCGGGGGCATGGCCTCTGTGATGCTCTGGACCCGGGCGTGCTGACGGCCTGGGATGACACAGGAGGCAGCCCAGAAACGCCCTGGTAAGGCGACTGGCTCTGGTGTCGCCTCCACCTCCCAGCATCAGCCCCTGGCTCCAGTGCCGGGGGAGCAGGGCAGCGAGCTGGGGGCACCCAGAGAGAGCACCAGAGGGAGCGAGCACCAGGAGAGGAGGGGGTCGTGAAGAATGAAGCCCATCACGACTTACCTTCCGCTGTCCTCAGCATGACGGCGAGCTCAGCCGGGATCTCCAAGCGCCCCAGCTCCTGGCGGAGAGGAGCAATTGACTCAGGGAAGGGGCACAGGGACCCAGGGGCCCTCCTCACCCACGGGGGCTGTAAGCTTCCCCTCCAGAGACCAAGGATGCTCGTCCTGGGCACCCCAATAGGGCCCCCTGAGCCCTCAGAGGGAAACCAAGGGCAGCCAGGCCTCCTCTTGGGGGGCACACGGATGGGCCTGAGGACAGGACCCATCTCGGCACCCCAGGACCCCACGCTCCCCCTCAAGCCAGGCCAGGTTCATCAGGCTCATGACCCAGCAGACACCCTCCAGCTTCCAGGCCACCTACCATTCTTGGCACCGTCTCAAAGGAGCCGCCGCTGTGCCAGCTGCGCCGATGCTCAAGCTATAGGGGGAGATGCGGGAGGAGATGGTGTCTCCGTGAGGCGTCACCCCGAGCTCCCTCGAGGTTCCTCGCCCGCTCGGCAGTTCAGCTGACCCCTCCTCCTCCCAGGAGGCCCCGGCACCAGCGGAATAAAGGTGTGGACCCAAGGGGGCTGGCGGCTGCCCCCCGCCCTCCAGAGCCCTCACCAGCCAAAGCGCTGTGGGTGTCGCTGCCTGTCTGCCAGGACCGGGAAGAGGGCAGGAGGAAGGGAAGCAATGGTCCCCTGGGGACAAAGTCCAGGCAGGGAGGGCGGGAGAGGGGCCGGCGTGTAGGCATCGACCTTCGAGCTGCTTTATGGCCCTCACGTTGGAGTCGTTGGGCAAGACAGGGAGCAGCCCAAGGGGCCCCCGAAGGGGATGGAGGCGCCCCAGCCGGCAGGGAGAGAGAGTCAGGCCCTGGCATGAAGGAAGGCGATGAGCTCCCGGAGGCCCCAGGCTGCCCCGGCCAGGCAGCGGGGACGGGACACCGCCAGCAGCCGTCCCTGAGGCCTCGCCCCTCCTGTGGCTGGGCGTGGAGGGGGGTCACTGTCGGGATTCAGCCAACTTGACCGGCAAAGGCTGGCTGGCTTCTCCCCTGAGCCTCCCCCAGGCAGCACCCCACCCGTGGGCTTCACCTGTGGTCTCCGCCGCCTCCAGAGCAGGGGCCGGGCCGCCAGCACAATGGTGTTCAGCTGCCCCAGAGCTGCCCGCCGCCCGAGGTACCGCTTCCTGGAGGCCGGGAAGGGGGCTGGTGAGGAGTCAAAGCTCACACCCAATACCCAGATCCTCCAAGTTAAGACATGAGTGTAAAACCAGACCCAGTGAAGCACCAGGCTGCCCAACAAGCAACAGGGAAAGGATAGAACAGAAGAGCAAGTAAAACCAAGAGGCTGTTGTGCACGGGGATTAAGATCTGAGGCTCTGGAGCCGGCCACCCTGGTTCCTTCCTCTACTGTTTCGTCACAGCAGTCTTGGAGAAGGTGTTTACCTCTCTGGATTATTTTTGTTTTTTTTCAGACAAGCTCGTGGCTTGCAGGATCTTAGGTCCCCAACCAGGGATAGAACCCACACCCTTGGCAGTGAAAGTGCTAAGTCCTAACCACTGAACAGCCAGAGAATTCCCTACTTTAACTCTTGGTGTTTTATTTTCATCATCTCTAAAATGAGAATTATTGGACTGTCTGCTCCACAAGAAGATGAAATGAATTAAAAGGTGTGTTTGGAATAGAGTCTGGCATATTACTATGTAAGAAACAGAAATTTTTTTTTTCCTCCCTCCAAGAAAAACTCCTAAAAATGAAAAAAATTACATCACTGGAAGTCTGATAGGAGATCCCAGAAGGGACAATATCTTTGAGAGCTTTCCAGATATAAGACCAGACTCCTCAAGGAAGCAGCCCTGAGCATGATAAATATTTAAAAATTAATCGATACACACTTAGACGTGAAATAGATAAACAACAAGGATCTTATCTTTTATTGAAGTATATTGGTTTACAATGTTGCCAGTATATAGCAAAGTAATTCAGTTACAAATGTATACATATATATATATATCTATATAGAATATAGAATAGAATAATATTCACTATCTTGTAATTACCTATAGTGGAAAAGAATCTGAAAAAGAATATATGTATAGATATATATGTATGTATATATTTGTAACTGAGTTACTTTGCTATATACCTGCAACACTGTAAACCAATATACTTCAATAAAAAATAAATCTACAGTCTTTTTTACATCAAAGTACACTATTGAGAGAGGAGACTAAAAAATAAGTAAATAAAAAAGAGAGAGGAGGCTGCTTGTAGATCAAGTATTTGATAAGAGTTTAGTATCCATAATATATAAAGAATGCCTACAACTCAATGAGAAACAAACAACCCAGTTAAAAACCAAGCAGAGGACTTGAACAGTTGTTTCTCCAAAGAGACATACAGATGGCCAAGAAGAACATGAAAGATGCTCAACGCCACTCGTCGTTAGAGAAATGCAAATCAAAACCACAATGAAATGCTACTTCACATCCACTCGATTGGCGATAATTTGAAAAGCAGAAAGTAACAAGTCTTGGCAAGGGTGTAGTCAAACTGGAAGCTGCCCACACTGCCGGTAGGAAGGTAAAATGGTGCAGCCACTATGGAGAACAATCTGGCAATTCCTCAAAAAGGTATAGACAGAATTACTAGATAACTTGGAATTCCACTCCAAAGTAAAGACCCCAAAGAACTGAAAGCAGAGATTTGAACTGTAACTTGCATGCTCATGTTTATAGCAGCCTTATTTGCAAAAAGCCCAAAGGTAGAAACAACCCACACACACATTCGACAGATATATGGATAAATGACTGTGGTCCATTTACACAATGGAACAATTTTCAGGTGTAAAAAAATATATGATGTTCTGACACATGTTACAAAAGGGACAAACCCTGAAAATATGTTTAGTGCAATAACCCAGATGTAAAGGGAGATATTGTATCAGTCAACTCAGATGACATATCGAGAAGAGGCAAATTCACAGAAACAGAAATTATACTGGAAGTTACCAGGGGCTGGAGGGAAGGGAGAGTGGGGTATGATTGCTGAACGGGTACAGAGTTCTTGCTGGTGATGAAATGATTTGGAGGGACTTCCCTGGTGTCTCAGACAGTAAAGAATCTGCCTGAGATGCAGGAGACCTGGGTGTGATCCCTGGTCAGGGAGCTATTAATAGATTCCACATGCCACAACCAACGATCCTGCATGCTTCGATTAAGACCTAGTGCAGCCAAAAAAAAAAAAAAAAGGAGTATTCTTTCTGAAGAGTGGAGAACAGACTAGAAAAAAGGGCAGTTGGACTTTCCTGGTGGTCCAGTGGTTAAGAATCTGCCTGCCGATGCGAGGGATATGGGATCAATCCCTGGTCCAGGAAGATCCCACATACCACTGAGCAACTGAACCTATGAGCCACAACTACTAAAACCCAAGTGTTGGCAACTACTGAAGCCTGTGTTTATATTCTGGAGCCCTTGCTCCGCCAACAAGAGAAGCCACGGCCACGAGAAGCTGTTGCAGCACAAGGAAGAGTAGCCCTGCTTATTGCAACTAAAGAAAGCCCACACGCAGCAATGAAGACCCAATGCAGCCAAAAAAAGACCAAAACACCAGTCAAGGAGTCAAGACAGCAGGTTTGCATGGCCTCAACAGGTAATGAGCTTCTCGTGGCAGGAGGCATTCAAGCAGAGACAGCAGAGGTACGGGCAGTGGTGTCGGCAAGAAGAGTCCAGTGCCAATGGGAGGCAGGCAGGCAGACTTGCCTCGAGGCCCTATGTCTCCCAGAGCCTGCCCCGCCACGTTGAGGAGGCCTACAGTCTCAGTGCCCCCTGCACACCTGGCCTGGAGCCCGCTCACACGAGCCTGCATCCGCGGCAGGAGGTGGAGGCGCTGGTGGGAGATGCAGACGCGGAGGCCTCGGTGCAGGGTCTGCAGGGCCTGGGTGCGCTGCTGGGCCCGGCGCTGCTCCAGCTGCTGCCAGCCCGGCTCCCGCAGCAGTACCTGGGGGCAGAGGTATGGGCTGGAGGCAGGCCAGTTGTGTGGGCGGGGACCACCCTGCCCTTCTCCCGAGGGCTCAGCTTCCTTCCAGGCAACCCGTTCTCCTGGGGTGCCCGGGACACCCAGCCCGCTCCATCTCCCCACCACCTGGAAGGACCACCAGATTCTGAAAGGATCCCAGAATGCTCCTCCCGCTTGCCAGCCCTCCCTGCCTCTCTGCACACACACACCGCCCACCTGGGTGGCTCCCAGGTGACAGAGGGGTGACTCAGCCGCCAGCACCTGGTTCAGGATGATGCCACACCTTTCCCGGTCAGAGAGCTCGCCCTGCTCCTCGGCCCCCAGGGCCCGGAACCTGCCCAGGGATGGATAACTCAGGTCAGAACAAGCAACGAGCACCTCTCCCCACACTCATTTGATCCCTGAGCCCCTTGGGTGCATTCAGTCTGTAAGTCATTCAACAGTGATTTGGAAAGCACCTACTATGTGCCAGACACCCAGAAGAGTTTTGCTAAGAGGAGGAGAAGTCGATGAATGCAGAGAGGCATGCAGAGGCATGGGGGTGACGAATAGTGGAAGGAGACACAGATGAAGGGAGAGAAGGAGAGAGACAGAGAGTCGAAGGGTCCCTGGGAAAGTGGGTCCGTCTTCCCCAGAAGGAGCCCCAGGTCTGCCAGCCACTCCAAGGGGTACTGCCTAGTGAGTCCTGGCCCTGGGGCGCCTGCCGCCACCCCCATCCCGGGCCCTACCTGTCCAGGAAGGCCTGGAAGGGCATGCGAATGGGGAAGTTGGCGCCGCGGGTACACACCGCCTCCAGGATGCCCGCCTGGCGCAGCTGTTCTGCCACGTGATCCACATCAAAGAGGCCTGGAAGCTGTGGCCAGGCAGTGGGGCAGAGCCAAGGACATGGACTCGAGGGGCTCAAAGCCATGGGGAGCACGGGGTGGGGCATGGGAGGGGCGGGGGTGCTGAGAGGGCAGGGCAGGGGTGGGAGGGCTTTGCAGCCAGGTGCTGGGAGAGCTCACCGTTCCTGGATTGGGGTTGAGGCACTGGATGAAGGAGACATGGCTCCTTGTGGGTGGAAAGGGGAGTCACATGAGCACAGACTGGCCCCCCTATTCAAACTCCCAGAGGTCAAGGGTGGGGGCACTATTCTCACCTGCCCAGCTGGGCTATGAGGTCCCCCAGGGACTTCTGGAAGCGAGTGGCCAGTGTGGGTTTGCCTGGTCCTCCCCTGAATTCATCAGGCTCTGCATCCCGGAACAGGCGGCTCACCAGCTGTGGGGTGAGACAGGGACTGCGCCGGCTCACTGGGCCTGTCCATAGCCCAGCCTGCCCCCCATCCCCACTCCCTGGGGTGCCAGGGTGCGCCGGCCAAAGGCTCAAGGTGCCAGGATCTTGAAGGCCAGCCCCTTGGGCAAGACTGTCTGGGCAAGGAGGACAGAACAGGCCAGGGGGGGTGTACGGGACGGCCAGCAGAGGCACCTGGAGTTGGCTCTGGGCAAGCATTTCCACCACGGCAGGGTCCAGATGATCCCGGTTTCTGTTCAGAAACTTGTGCACCTGCAAGAGACAATGTGAGGTGGGGAGGGGAAGTCAAGGAGAGGAGGCGGGTGCGGAAGCCAGTCCCTTTGCCAGGTGATCCAGCCTCTTCCCTCTGAGTTAAGAGTCCAACTTCAAAGGCGGCCTTTTACCTCACACCATGTATCAAAATCAACTCAGAATGGAAGGATCAAAGACCTAAACGTAAGACGTGAAACTGTAAAACTCTTAGAAAAAACAAAGGGAGAAAGCGTCATGACAGTGGACTTGGCAATGATTTCCCGAATAGACACGAAAAGCACAAGCAACAAAGGAAAAATAAACTGGATTTCATTAACATGAAAACCTCTTGTGCATCAGAATACAGTGTTGAGAGTGAAAAGTCAGCCCACAAAATGGAAGGAAATATCACATATCAGATAAGGGATTAATATCCAGATTAACGTACAGAACTCCTACAGTTCGGTGTAAAAAAAAAACCACCACTCAAAAATGGACAAAGGACTTGAATAGATATTTCTCTAAGAAAGACACACAAATGACCAAGGACATGAAGAGATGCTCAACATCACTAATCACTAGAGAAATGCAAATCAAAACCACAACGAGATACTACTTCCCACTCACAAGGATGACTTGTTCCACCCCAAACCAGTCACCCGATTGAACCGTTTGCAGCAGGCCCCCGCCCCCTTGAAGCTCTCCTCCTGGGTAGGTGTGCATCATCACGAAACTCAGAAGGGGGAGACAAGGTCCCTTTACGGAGTACCTTGGAGGTGCCAGGCACCTGTCCCACCACTTTTGTGTAATTACGTTAATCCTCAGGACAATGCTACAGGACAGGTTCCCCTTCCCATTTTACAGATGAGGACAACGGAGGCACAGAAGGAGAAGCAGACTGCCTGAGGTCATCGGAGCCAGGTCCCATGCATACGCTCTGCCCCTCTGGGTCTGGAGGGTCCCAAGGCCTTGACTCCCCCATCCCACAATGCTTGCCCAGAGCTCAGGGAGTCATGCATGAGGTGAGGCAGAGGAGCCCAGAGAGATGGTTAAAGTCTTGGAAGAGGTTTCCCCACACTTACCCCGCTCACCCGTCAGGTGACTCCCCAGGGTCACTCTGCCCTCACCCTGATACCTGGTAGGTGACGGTCCCGGCATAATGTCGCACGGTGAAGATGGGAAGGGGCAGTTGGGGCTTGGTGTAGCACGGGTGGTCGCCATGGTGATAGTGGCACTTCTGCAGGAAGGTATGGTCCGTGGCCTGATGAGAGGAAGAGATGCTCAGGCCTCTGCAGGTGTGGCTCCCCTGGCGGGGCTGTGCCTCTCCCCCCTGCCCCCCAAAACCATAGACACTGAACACATGGCAAGCTTTGGTTTGGTCTCCAAACTTTCTTAGGAGGTTGCTCCAGATCTGAGTCCTTATAAAGGGCACAACCTCTTTCCCAGGGACTATTTTGAACAATCAAGAAAAAACATGGAAGCCTTGCACACCTTAGTCAATAAGATTTGGCGGCTTAGAGAACATTTGATAAAATTATTTAAAAGAAATGGGGCTGAGGGACTTGAAGCAGTTTTGGCAATGATTCCTGGGAATCTGGTCTCACAGTTACAGGTGTTTCTGAGCAAGTTTTTCAAAGATACTTTTAAGAACCCATCCAGGGACTTCCCTGGCGGGCCAGTTAAGAGTTAACTGTCTCAAGAGTCTGAAAAAAAAAAAAAAAGTCTGTGCTTACAATGCCAGGAGTGGGTTTGATCCCTGGTCAGAGAACTAGGATCCCACATGCCATGTAGTGTGGCCAAGAAAATAAAAAAGGATGCAGTATATTTAAATGAAACATTAAACAGACATGGGATGTGTGTGTGTTTTTTTTAAGATTCACATATAAAAAAGTCACCCAGTAAGAGGCTATTTTATGGAGTTTAAGAACAAAGAATCTTGATGAAACCCCAAGCCCCTCGTGGAGCCAGTACAGTCTGCACAACCTGGCCCCTCAGGCACGATGGTCCCCCTCCCGAAGCGAGGAGTCTCAGAGAGGTCAGCGTTATCAGGATTATCCAGAGACTAGAGATCTGAACCCAGTGTGGCCACTGCCTTCCCAAGTTGTACTGAGGGCCTGTGAGCAAGGTCCCAGGACCTCAGACTTTATTTCTCCCCTGGAAGGCCCTGCTGGCTCTGCCCTGGCCACCAGGCACCCCCCACTCCTTGTCCCCCAACTTGAGGGGCTCACCTGGGACAGCCATGTCTGGGCATCCAGGATACTCAGGAGGCTGTGCGGCTGGTCTACCAGGAGGTCCAGGCAGGACTCCTGCGGGGCCTGGGGGATGGGCACCCAGGGCAGTGACTCCCTCCGACACTCCTCCTGGGAACAGCCAGTGCTTGGTTCATGGAGACCACCCATGCCCATGGGGTGCCTCATCTGAGCCAGAGCAGGGCTGACCTTCCCATTGTACAGATGTGTAAACTAAGGCTCGGAAGGACCGAGACAGCCTACAGCAAGGGGGCTCTGGCGCAGGGCTCCAGTGAGTGCCCACTCTCCCCCAGGGATGGCCTCTGTTCTAGGAGACAGCTGGGCATCCCCGGCTTCCTCCCAGCCCGGCTCCCGTACCTCCTCCAGGGCCAGCAGCAGCCGGCGGTGCCACAGCTGCAGGCGCTCGCTGCCCAGGTTGTTGCACAGCTGCTCCAGACCATTGACCCGCAGGGCCTGGGGGCGCACAAGCAGTGAGGTGGGCACCCACAGGAAGTGGGGGGCCGGGGCAGCTGGGGGGGCCAACACACAGGCCTGGTGCCCTTCCCCCCCCCTCCCACAGCTGCCCACGTTCTCCCCAGCACCAGGCAGGATGCTGCCCCAGGGCTGATGCTGCTGCCTCCAGGGTCAAATCCAAAGACCCTGGCCCAGCGTGCGCCCGCCTCCGTCCTGCCCCAGCCCCAGCCAGGCCTCCCTCCAGCAAGCTGTCCCCCTGCCTTCTGCCTCAGCACCGCTGTGAGCCTTCGGGGCTCTGATCACAGCCATCCTGTGGTCTGGAAGGCAACTTTTCCTATAGCCTAGCTCAGGGACTGTCAGAATGCCACATTCTCATAAGCAGAGTTCCAGGCTGCTGCCTCCAAGAAGCCTTCCAGGAGTCCTTCTGTTGGAATTCCAGTCTCCTTCCTCTGTATCCCCAACACCTAACTATCAAGCCTAGCAGAGCCCCTACTTCATGCAGCTTTGTACAGTTTTTTACATGCTCTAAAATACACACAAATGTGCACATGAATACACACACACACACACACAGATGCCGTGGTCATCCCCTTCCGCAGAGAGGGGATGGTCACCAAGGATATAGTGGAGAGGAGACAAGAGCAAAGGACAGTGAACGGTGCCCATCTCGTCCCTCCTCCCTGGCCTGAGGGGGCAGGATGCTCTGGGAAGGGGGTGACGAGCTTATGAAAAGTCAGGGTGATTTGGGGGAGTCCCCTTCTCCCCCCGCCTCTTGGACACAGGAAGTGAGGCTGACCCATCCTGGGGTCTTTCACTGCCTCAAGGCTCCATGAGACTCTGCAACAACGCCAAGCAGGCAGAACTCTTCAGAGGCGACATCACGACTGGACAGGGCAGACGGCTGTACCTACGGAACGTGCAGCTGTCTCATGGACCATCTTATGGTCAGAGAGGCAAGCAGTGCACGAGTGTGCCCCACAGAAGAGCTGCTGGGGTCCCCAGGAATATCCAGGACGAGGTGGACACCCCTTTCTGGGCCCCACCCTGGGGTGACCTCAAAGCCATAGACATCCACGACAGTGACGGTAGCCGTGCTGCCTGCCTCCGCAGTGGACGCCAGCCGTGCGTTGGCCCTCCTCAGAAGCCAGGCGAAGAGCCGTGCGTATAGGGCCTTGGCCAGGGTGTCCCTGGGGGCGTGGTGAGTGAGCCCCGTGCAGCAGGGGCCAGGCCTGCTCCCGGCTCTCTCCTGCTCCCAGGGTTACCTGGCATCAATGGCACTTTCCACGGGCAGGGATCTCGAGACCTGGCCACAGGGCGTCTCCTGAGGGCGGAGAATGTGCAGGTGGTGCGCCAGGCCCAAGGCCCACCCCAGGGCTCCCCAAGCCTTTGGGTGGTCTGCTCAGGCCCCCCTTGCCCAGGACCCTCAAGCTCACCGTGACCCTCCGGGTGACCGCCCCCTCCAGGCGCTCGGGCGGCACCCGCAGCAGCTGGGCTGTGGCGTGGATCTCAGCCCAGCTGGACACGGCGGCCACCTCCTGGGACTCCCTCTGGATGGAGGCGAGAGGGAGCAGGGCGTGCTCTGCTTGTGGACTGGCTGCATCCCATGGTCGGGGGCAGCACCACACTCAGACTGGCCAGGTGCCCGTGACCCAGAGATAGACCTGGGCGGGGGGCTGGCTCTGGAGTCTGAGGGCCTGAGTGAGGCCCCGACAAGTCTCTTTCCCTCTCTGAGCCCCCACTGTCTTATTGTTAGAGGGGAAATAATAAGCTTTATGAGACGGTGTTCTCAGGAGCACTAAATGGACTTCCCTGGTGGTCCAGTGGCTCAGACTCCATGCTCCCAATGCATGGGGCCTGGTCAGGGAACTAGATCCCTCACGCCATAACTAAGACCTGGTGCAACGAAATAAATATTTAAAAAAAACCAAAACTCTATGTAGGGAATTCCCTGATGGTCCAGTGGTTAGGACTCTGCTCTATCACTGCTGAGGGTGTAAGTTTGATCCCTCGTTGGGGAACTAAGATCCTGCAAGCTGCTCGGTGTAGACTCCCCACCCATATATACATACATACATACACACATACACACACACACATACATATGTGAAGTCCCAGGTACATCATAGCTGCTCAGTTAACGCCAAGCATCCGTCTTAGGGTGGTGCCTTAGTGGGACAGGATTAGTATGGAGGCAGCAGACCCTAGTCTCAGCTTTCTCATTTATAAGATGGAAATCCATCCACTTTCCAGGACAGCGGTGAGGCCCTGCGGGTAGCCTCCCGCACTCTGAGGTTACCGCTGCCCTGATGATGCAGACCAGCCAGACTGCCGATCCGGTGCCTCTGCGGAAGCTCACCTCTGACGAGGAAAAGCAGATGTTGCCCAGGTGCAGGACGGAGGCCAGCACAGCCCAGACAGCGGTCAGCTCCTCGGCGCACAAGCCCAGTGCCTGCAGGGCCTTCACCAGTCCTGTGAAGTCCTGGGCATCGTCCTTGTCCTGGAGCCTGCAGGCGCGGCCCTGCCGAGCACAGCAGGGCTAAGGGGTAAGGGGATGGGGCCAGGCCTCCCACGGCCTCCCTCGCCTAGACCCCAAGCGGGGACCCCTCCCTGGGCAGGCCCTGTCGACCGGCACCGGGGAGGGCCTCCCCTCACCTGGTTGAGGTAGTAGTAGGTCTCCGGCCCCTGCAGGGAAAGCTGTTCCCGTTCCATGGGGTCCAGCCCTGCCAGCAGCTCATAAAAAACATGGAAGCTCCGCTCAGCCTGGGCCTTGGGGGGAGAAGGACTGGCTTAGGGGGAGCGGTAGCCAGGTCTTGTGCCCTGGGGAGCAAGGACAAGCCCCCAGGGGAAGGCCGGCCGGGGGAACGAGGGGTCACAGCGCCTCCCTCTCCCCTGTGCTGGGAGCAGTGGGCTGGGGTCGTACCTGAAACACCACCCTTGAGGTCTCGAGCAGGTGATGCGACACAGAAGCGCCAACGACGGTGCCCCTGTGGGCACAGGACACTGGGTGAGGGTGCCCAGCGTACACGCGGCCCGGGGCCCCTGCTCAGATGGCACCCACCGAGGGCTGGACCCAAGGGCGGCAGGCTCAGGTTCCCAGTCCGGGGAACCGGCCGTGGGTGCCCCTGCCCACCTGGACCCCTGTCACTCACTGCTGCAGGCAGAGGCCCAGGACCTGGCCGAAGCGGCTGGCATTGGTGTTGAGGACTGTCTTGGCGTGGCCAAAGCTGCTGAGCAGGGGCAGCACGGTGTCCAGCTGGGTGGGCAGGGGGGACATTCAAGTACCTCTGGGCGCAGCAGCCCCTCATGGGCATCCCAGGCGAGGACACTACGTGGGGGCTCTGTCGGCCCATGGAGGGGTCGGTCTCTCCAGCCCACCCTGCCCCCGCAGTAGGCAATGCCTGGGGCTGCACCCGAGGAAAAGCCAGAGGCCTGAAGACCACTCTCCTGGCCCAGAGGAGTGGGAAGTTCCCTCTTGGATCCCTGGACAGTGGCGAGCTGCCCCTCACCCGACATCCTCTCTCCCTTGTCTGCTCCCGCTCCAGGCTGTGTAGGAACTGCACCATCTTTTTGGCCGCCTCTGTCTTCCCAGAGCCGCTGTGCCCACTGCAGGAGAGAAGGGCTGGCAGGGCCTCCAGGAAGGGGCACATAGGGTGGTCCCAAATGAGCCCCAAAGTGGGGATGTGCCCACTTGGAAGTGACGCCCACCCTAAAGGAGGCTCCCAGAAATGCAGAAACAGAGCCAGGGCAGGGAGGCCAAACAGAACAAAAAGTCCCTGAGATGCCTCGCTCAAGGGGCACGGTCTTAGCAAGTCCAGAGCTGCTGCCCAGCAGTGGACCAGACGGGCAGTTTCAAATACGGACCTCACATCGCCCTCCTCCCGGCACTCAGCATGGCCTGAGGGCTCCGTCAACACTCACCCCAGCAGGATGCAGGTGGCCTGCCCAGTGCTCTCAGACAGGCTACAGGCTGATGCCACGACGGCAAAGATGTGTCTGGGGGATGAGAGAGGAGGTCACCAGCAATGGGTACCTGGGGCCTCCTAGGTGCAGGCAGGTCCTGCCCACAGTCCCCTGGGCCTCAGTCAGTGTGATGTGCTGGGGTCTAGCCACCAGGCGGGAGCAGAGGCCTGGTGGTGCAAGTTCACGTACGGGGTGGGGTTGGGGGTCTTCCCAGGGCGGTAGCTGGCCAGGACCTCAGGTGAGAAGAGAGGCAGGGTCCGGCGGGGGTTCAGAGCGAGCAGAAGGGGCCCCCCGAAGGTCTGGGAAGAAAGCGAAAGCTCTCATAAGAATGTGGGGGGAGCAGGGTTCAGCACCCAACCCAGGGAGAAGGATGGAGGGGGACACTCGGGCCGGGGTCGGGGTGGGGGTACCCAGAGGGCTCTCTGACCCCAGGGGAAAGGGAATCCCAGCTCACCACCCCCTCCTGGGTCCCCCATACATAGATTCGGCCCAGGTGAAACCTCTTCTTGAGACACAGCAGCACCGAGCTGTCGCAGACTGGCCTGCGGGGCCGCGGGGTGGAGGAGAGGGGAGTTGGGAGCAGAAAGAGACCCTGGGTTAGCACCGCCGCTGGCAGCCGAGACACCTCCACCAAGTCCCGCACCCTCTCCAAGCCTGTCCATAACACAGGGCCTCCCCACCCCACGCTGAGCAAGAGCTCCCACCCTGGGCGCTACAGGCAGGACCAGGCTGCTGACCAAGAAGGAAGCTTTGTGCCAATTAGAGAAAGAAGTGGACCTGGATTCTCACCCCTCAGCTGCCCCTTCCAGCCTGACGACCCTGTGTGGCAAAACCCCTTGGAAGGAGACCCTCCATAAAAACCGAAGGTTGGGTGTGACCCAGGCAGGGCAGGTTTGGGGCCGCGCCCACTCACCACAGCCGGGCCAGGTCCTCAGTGTCTTCCAGACCTTCCCCGACGCTCCTGCCGTCTGCGCCGCCAAGAAAGGGAGGCGTCCCCGGGCCCCGCGCGAGGCCCAGCTCCAGGTCCCTCTCCAGCGCCTCCTCCACCTCGTCCTCTGGCTCCCATCGATCCCTCGGGGACCCGCGGGGGCCAGGGCTCCCCTCCGGCCGCCGTCGGGTCTCCAAAGTGAGTCGGGGCAGCAGTGCTTCGGTGTCAAGCCCGGGGTCCTCGTAGGGGTCTGAGCACTGCGCCCAATGCACCGGAGCCGCGGCTTCCAAGATCTCGGGCTCCGCTTCGCTGCTGGAGCCGCTCTCGTCCAGGGGGTACTCCTCGTGGGGATTCGGGCTGAGAGAGCCGCGGGGGGACCCGGCCACCCCTTCTACACTCGCCCTGCGCCCTGCACTGTCCGCAGACGCCCCCGCACAGGACCAATCGCGCCCCTCCCCGGCGGGGGCGTCCGCGGACCCTTCCTCTGAGCTCACGCGGCTCGAGGTACTCCCTGCCCCGTGGACCCTGGGGAACACCACGGCGAACTTGGGATCTGGAGTCGGGTCCTCAACCCCCAAAGGGTCTTGGGCTGGGCTTCTCGCAACCTCCAGGGAACTCGGGCCGCCGCCAGGGGGAGGCCCCGGTCGCCCCCACAGCCCGGCGATGCCCGCCAGGCTCAGCGCTAGACGGCGGCGGCGCGGCCCCGGCCCGCGGCTCGTCCCCTCGCTGGTCCCGGGACCCCGCGCGCCGCCCGCGCGCCGCTGGAGCCGCAGCCGCAGCCATCGCAGGAACCCCAGGGCCCGCGCCACGCGCACGAGCCGGTCCTTGAGGCTGCAGCGGCGAGGACCGGCGGCCTGGGGAGCGGGGCCCGGCGGGGGCCTGGCGCGGAGCCTGCGGAGCGCCACTAAGGCGGCCAGCGGCGCTGGGGCCCGGGGCCCGTCACCCCCAGACCCCGCGTCGCTCACGCCCACCGCCTCCTGCGACTTCCCCACCACCTTTCCAACCTGGCGGCGCTGACCTCGGGCGGTCAAGGCCTCGGCTTTTTCGGGCGGGGCGCCCCTCGGCTCAGCTTCGAGCTGCACCCCATCCTCTCTTGTATCCCCGCCCTGCCTGGGGTCCTGAGAACCCCACGAGCTCCGAGGGCTGCAGGCGGGGCTGCCCTCCACGGGGCTGGAAGCTGCGGCTTTTCTAGCTGGGTCAGCCTCGCCGGCCTCAGGGGCCCCGCGGGTCGTTTCTGGTGCTGCCCCCGGGCTCCGTCCAGACCTGGCCCCCTCCTGACTCGAGTTTGGGCCTGTCCCAGAATCCTCGGTCTCTCCCTGGGGCCTCGCCGCCGCCGATCCTTCTGGGCTCTGGGGCCGCGAGGGGAGCTTGTTGCTGCCGCTGGGGCCGTTGCTGTTCCACTGCGCTCCTGGTGCCTCCAGCCCCGACTCTGCGCTGGTTCGAGTGCCCCCCGAGCCCATGTCCGTTTGCTCCAAGTTGGGCCTCTGCTCTGGGGTCCCACCGCCCTGGCTGCGGCTCTCCTGGGCCTCCTGGGCTTCGCTGTCCAGGCAGGAGCTGGCCCCGTCTCCCCCCGACGTATTCCCATCGAGGCTCCGTGTCTCTGGGCGGCCCCGCTGAGCCGAGGGTCCGAGGCGTTTTCCTCTCCTTTTGCGGCGGTTGCGCTCGCGTGTCCTCCCTCCTGGGAGGAAACCCTTCTCCTCCAGGAGCTCCCTGTGGCCGTCGCCCGGCTTGTCGCTCTCCTTAGCCAGGTATCCCCCACGGGTGTGCCCGCTGCCTCGTCTCCCCTCGGCCTCCGGCGGTGGCCCTGCCTCTGCCCGTCTGCAGTTCCCGTTCTCCCCTAAAGGGGGCTTCCTGTGGGCACTGGGGGGCTCCTGGCCTCGCCTGGCGCTGGGCTCCCTGTGGGCCTTACGGTGGCCCTTTCGATGTTCCCGGCTCGGCGCGCTATCTGCGCTGGCAGACCCGGATTCCTGCTCCCCCGAGGGGGGCCTCCGGGATCCCTCCGGGCGCTGGGGCGCTTTGCCCTTGTTCCTGCCCATGGCTTCCCGGTGTCTCTCTCCTCTTCTCGCCCCAGGAGCTGGCTGCTCGAAGGCGTACTCTCAGCAGCACACCACACAGGCTCTGCGCTGATGGGGGCTACAGGCTCCATCTACCCGCCCCCACGCCTCCCGCCTTACCCGAGGGCATCAATAATGCAGGTGGCTGCTGGTCCTGACCTCCTCGGCCAACAATAGAGCAGAGGCCAATCAGGAAAGAAGAGCTGCAGGTGCGGACAAAGGCCATGGACAGGGTAACCATGCTGCCCTGAGTTGCTGCCAGCCCGGCCAGCCTGGCACCAGGCCCGACTGAGGGGCCTGCGCCCTGCTCCTGCCTCACTGTTTTGGCATCAGGGGGTGGGGGCGGGTGCCAGAAGAAACCATTTGGGCCATCCTCCTTGTCCTGGGGGGCTCTGGGGGGACCCACCCTCCTTACTTAGCCCCTTGGAGGCTGGAACCAGGCTGACCTTGGTGCACTGCCAGAACCTAGTGAGGGTTGTTAGTTTTGTTGTTGCTCTTCTAGATTGTGAAATATAATTTAAAGAAAACTGCATAAAACATAAATGTACACCTTGGACTGGTGTAAAGTAAGTAAATGCTTCTTAGTCATGGAACATAATCAGACCCCAATAAATTTCTGAGCACCCGCACATGTGTGTTGCTCTAATATTTAATTTTTTTGAACAGGTAGTCCAGAAGATGAAAGTTTCCCATTCCTGACCCACAGCTATTCATTTTCCCCTGAGGTTACCCATTTCTTATATTTCCTTCCAGAGCTATCCAGGCAGAGAAAAGCAAGTATTATTTTTCCCTTTGAGAACTGGTGGAAGCTTTTCTAGCTCATGGTGCTTCACTCTAACAGATTTTTCCTAACAGATTATCTTGGAGATTTCATAATAGTAAAGATTTTTTAACAACTTTGTAACATTCCAGCAAATGAATGTGCCATAGTTTAACCAATTCTTTATTGATAGTGTGAAAATTAATAAAGGAAACACTAAATGGAGGCCAGAAGGGGGAGTCCTTATACACTTAACCAGTTCACCTCGATATAGATCCCAAGAGGAAAAAAATGTACTTTGGATCTCAGGCAGGAAGTGACACAACTTTACTGCTGCCAGCTGGAGGAAGAAAGTTTTTCCCCTCGCCTGGCAATAGCTCAGCCAATGAGAAACTGTCAAACTAAGCCAATGAAAAGCTGCTATACTTCAAACTCCCAATTTCCTCCTATGGGCTTTTTGTTTATAACAGCCTGTCCCAACTTCCCCTTTTCCTCTATAAAAGAGCTTCCTTTATAAAAAGTTTTCCTTCCTGCAGAGTTGCGTGTAGTTGGCATTAATTGCTGTCCCATGTTGTAATTCTTTGCTGGTAAAATAATTGGCTCTTAAAATTATTTTAGTTTAACAGACTTTTACGACTGAAATGGAGGCTGCCTTCATCTAATCTTTTGCTTCAATTACAGACAACATTGATTCCACCTGTGTCCAGGCCGAATCAATTCCTAGAAGTGGAATTGCTGGGCCATAGGGTGTGTGCTTTTGTATAACTCGGAGAGCTCCAAATTTTCCTCCATGGAGGCTGTACCAGCTTACACTCCCATCAACAAGAGAGGAGACCACCCATCTTCACATGGCACTGAGGCAGGATATCATCCAACATTTTTGCCCCTCTGAAACATGACAAATCTCAGTGCCCCCCCAGGACTCCTGTGCCCCTTCTGACCTCTGACCTCTCCTCAACCGGGAGCCCCACCCAGAATCAGAGTGGGGGAGGTTGACATTCCAGGTTGTGGGACGTTCCTTGGAGGGGTCTCCAGTTAGCTCCTACCTGCCTCACACCACTAGAGCATTCATGTATAACTTAAATCAAATCCCTTAGAATTATACAATGAAAGTGAGAAATATACTTAAAGGACTAGATCTGATAGAGTGCCTGATGAACTATGGATGGAGGTTCATGACATTGTACAGGAGACAGGGATCAAGACCATCCCCAAGAAAAAGAAATGCAAAAAAGCAAAATGGCTGTCCAAGGAGGCCTTACAAATAGCTGTGAAAAGAAGAGAAGCGAAAAGCAAAGGAGAAGTGGAACGATATACCCATTTGAATGCAGAGTTCCAAAGAATAGCAAGGAAAGATAAGAAAGCCTTCCTCAGTGATCAATGCAAAGAAATAGAGGAAAACAACAGAATGGGAAAGACTAGAGATCTCTTCAAGAAAATTAGAGATACCAAGGGAACATTTCATACAAAGATGGGCTCAATAAAGGACAGAAATGGTATGGACCTAACAGAAGCAGAAGATATTAAGAAGAGGTGGCAAGAATACACAGAAGAACTATACAAAAAGGATCTTCAAGACCCAGATAATCATGATGGTGTGATCACTCACCTAGAGCCAGACATCCTGGAATGTGAAGTCAAGTTGACCTTAGGAAGCATCACTACAAACAAAGCTAGTGGAGGTGATGGAATTCCAGTTGGACTATTTCAAATCCTGAAAGATGATGCTGTGAAAGTGCTGCACTCAATATGCCAACAAATTTGGAAAACTCAGCAGTGGCCACAGGACTGGAAAAGGTCAGTTTTCATTCCAATGCCAAAGAATGCTCAAACTACTGCACAATTGCACTCATCTCACATGCTAGTAAAGTAATGCTCAAAATTCTCCAAGCCAGGCTTCAGGAATACGTGAACCGTGAACTTCCAGATGTTCAAGCTAGTTTTTGAAAAGGCAGAGGAACCAGAGATCAAATTGACAACATCCGTTGGATAATCAAAAAAACAAGAGAGTTCCAGAAAAAACATCTATTTCGCTTTATTGACTATGCCAGTCTTTGACTATGTAGATCACCACAAACTGTGCAAAATTCTGAAGGAGATGGGAATACCAGACCACCTGACCTGCCCCTTGAGAAATCTGTATGCAGGTCAGGAAGCAACAGTTAGAACTGGACATGGGACAACAGACTGGTTCCAAATAGGAGAAGGAGTACGTCAAGGCTGTATATTGTCACCCTGTTTATTTAGCTTATATGCAGAGTACATCATGAGAAATGCTGGGCTGGAAGAAGCACAAGCTGGAATCAAGATTGCCGGGAGAAATGCAGATATGCAGATGACACCACCCTTATGGCAGAAAGTGAAAAAGAACTGAAGAGCCTCTTGATGAAAGTGAGAGTAGAGTGAAAAAGTTGGCTTAAAGCTCAACATTCAGAAAACTAAGATCATGGCATCCAGTCCCATCACTTCATGGCAAATAGATGGGGAAACAGTGGCTGATTTTTTTTTTGGGGGGGGTGCTCCAAAATCACTGCAGATGGTGATTGCAGCCATGAAATTAAAAGATGCTTACTCCTTGGAAGGAAAGTTATGACCAACCTAGAAAGCATATTAAAAAGCAGAGACATTACTTTGCCAACAAAGGTCCATCTCATCAAGGCTATGGTTTTTCCAGTAGTCATGTATGGGTGAGAGTTGGAGTATAAAGAAAGCTGAGCGCCGAAGAATTGATGCTTTGAACTGCGGTGTTGGAGAAGACTCTTGAGAGTCCCCTTGGACTGCAAGGAGATCCAACCAGTCCATCCTGAAGGAAATCAGTCCTGAGTGTTCATTGGAAGGTCTGATACTGAAGCTGAAACTCCAATACTTTGGCCACCTGATGCGAAGTGCTGACTCATTTGAAAACATCGTGATGCTGGGGAAGATTGATGGCAGGAGGAGCAGGGGATGACAGAGGATGAGATGGTTGGATGGCATCACTGCCTCAGTGGAGATGAGTTTGGGTAAACTCCGGGAGTTGGTGAAGGACAGGGAGGCCTGGCGTGCTGTGGTCCATGGGGTCACGAAGAGTTGGACACAACTCAGAGACTGAACTGAACTGAACTGCCTCACACCCACCTCTCTGCACATCTGGAACCAACCTCCCACCTGGGTGGAGCTTCCGCAAGCACTCACGTTACCCAGGAGGGCCACTCAAGCCCGGATGCCTGGTTTGAGCAAGGAGTTGAAAGTGCCTTGGCCTTTGCCAAGGAAGCAGCTGTCCCAAAGCAACACAAGCAAATGGGTAACGATGGTTACATGTGACTCATAAAACTGGTGTCTTTGAAAATCTGTACGCTGTGCTTCCCCACCACCAGTACTGAGCAAGACAAAGGGCAATCAGCTTCAGAGGGCTCCTTTCACCTGCCAAAAGTAGATACTGATTGATGGATTGTTGCATTGATAACGACATACCATTGCCAGCAACATACCTGGGTTATTTCACAAAACATGATGGTGAGTGAAGAAACCAGTCATGAAAGAGTTATAGAGTTACTGTCTGATGCTATTTATATAAAGGACAAAAAGAGGAAACTGAGCTAAGTTGGTTATAGGGTGGTGCCTGGGTTGGGGGTGGGAGGTTGGTAGTGACTAGGAGGGTCACAAGGAAACCTCTGTGGATGATACTGTTCAGTTTGTGAAGGTTTACTGGGTTGTGCTCCTGTGACTTGTGTTATTCTGTATGCATTTTATAATAAATAACGTAGAGAAAGAGGTCACTGTTTTGTCCTGGACTAATAATGATAATAATAAAAATAATAAAAAATAGCTAACACTTCAGGGCTTACTGTATGACAAACACTGTTCTACATACTTAATACAAGTTCACTTAACTATTTGTTGCTCTTTAGTCACTAAGTCGTGTCCGACTGTTTGCAACCCTATGGATTGTAGCCCACCAGGCTCCTCTTTCCATGGGATTTCCCAGGCAAGAATACTGGGGTGGGTTGCCATTTCCTTCTCCAGGGGATCTTCTCTACCCAGTGATTGAATCCAAGTCTCCTGCATTGGCGGGTGGGTTCCTAACCACTGAGCCCCCAGGGGAGCCTTCACTTAACTCTTAGGAGCACTCTAAGAGATGGGTGCTATAAGGATTCCCATTTCATGGATGATAAGACTGAGGCACACAGCTGAGTGTCAGAGCTGGGATGCCCACTCAGTCTGGCTCCCAAGGCCTGACAGGAGAGCTACCAGCTATACATGGAACTTCAATTTGTCCAGCCCGTTACAATGTGTCCTGTGAGCACTGGAGCAGAAGGAGAGCTCCGTACTCCCATCTCCAGGCTCCAGCCTTCTCCCTCCTGTTGATCCAGGTCTGCGCTTGTGTCTCACTCAGCTGGGACTTCCCTGATGGCTGGGACGATGAAGAATCTGCCTACAATGCAGGAGAGCCGGGTTCAAGCCCTGGGTCAGGAAGATGCCCTGGAGAAGGGCATGACAGCCCTGGCAACCCACTCCAGTATTCTTGCCTGGAGAATTCCATGGACGGGGAGCCTGGCGGGCCACAGTCCCTGGGGTCACAAAATGTTGGACACAACTGAGCAACCAGCACAGAGCTGGGATGGCAAGGCCGCTTCTGATCCCTTGAGCCTCAGCTCCCTTCCCAAGCTTCGTTTCATCCAAACCTCCCCAAACCTTAGGAAGGGGATATGGTCTCATTGCATAGATGGGGAGGTGGCTCAGAGAGGGTAAGTGGCTTAAGGACATGCAGGCAGTAAGTGAGGAATTGGGGACCCAATTCGAGGGCCCCACCACGCTGCTCCACGGCGCTTCTGCTGGGGTTGGCTTCGGAAACAGACAGGCTTGGTCTCCCCATGCCCCCCACCTCCGGGCTGTGTGGTTTCCAGCAGCCTCCAGGGAAGTCCTCGGACAAACCAGGGGAGAGGGGCGCCACCCCTGCCTCCTCCTTCCCGCCCACCCTTCTTCCGCTCTGCTCACAAGGGCTGTGACCACCTCCTCCAACTGTGTGAGTCCTCTTCTGACCCCACACACACTCCCTCCCTCCTCTCCTGGCCTCATGCACCTCACAATAAGCTTCACCTCCTTTGTTTGGGTCTTAACTGGGAGCCTGGTCCTGTGGGAGCTTCCAGATTCTCATTGAATCTTTACCATCCTCTGAGGTCCACCCTATTATTCCAGCCCATTTTAAAGATAAGTAAGCAAAGGTGCAGAAGTGAGGTCAGATGACCTCTAAGGTCACACAGCCGGTCACAGGCAAAGCCAGTGATAAAGGGTAGGATTGGCCCGACTTTCCAACGTAGGATGCCGAAGGCCCTCAGATGTAAGTCTCCAGACCAACTGTCTGCAAGGCCCTTGGAGTTGGCCGTGGCCCTCCCGCTCATGCACCCTGTCCTCTGGCAGCCTCCCTGGCCAGCTCACCCTCAGTGCCTGCTTCGCCGCTCTCACCCCCTCTTCCTGGACACCCCACTCCTCCACCAGGATTAATCCCCTTTCTAGAACACACCAAGTGTTTCCGTGTGTGCATACCTAGCCACACGAATTGCTGCTCATGTTCCCAATATGAAGATGTTTTCTCCTGAACTGAAAGTCGAACCACCAACATAAGCTCACTCTTCGAAGCACAAAGTACTTAAGGCCAAGCTCATCCTTGATGGGCACGGGGTCAACCCATTTTCAGACTTTTCAGAGATCTCCAGGTGTTTTCAGGTCAACTTGCTGTTGACTTCCTGTTCGAGCTGATTAACTGGATCACTGCTGCAGTCACAAAGCACCTCTGAGCCGTGGAAGTGTTGGCTCTGCCATTTTCTTCTGATTTATTGGTGTTTGCATTAGTAGTAGTGTCTCCAATCCTTAGTTACTTGGCAGGAAACTTCATGTTGCTTGTCCATTTGTGAGTTAATTTAGTTAACATGGAAACTAAACTGGCCAGTCACAAAAGCATGCCCTCTCCCTAGGCGGGGAGGGGCCGCCCAGCTCCCCGGGTGTGATGTTCCCACTCCTTCCTTGACACCCACTTTTGGTGCAGGATCCTGACCCACAGACTGAAGATCCCGGTGCCAACCCAAGTGTGAAAGAGCAAAGCTTAACTTGTGATAAAAGATAAAGACTTCTTGGACTTCCCTGTGGTTCAGTGGCTAAGACTGCATTCTCAATGCAGGGGGTCTGGGTTTGATTCTTGGTCAGGGAACTAGAGTCCACAGGCCACAACTAACAGTTCGCATGACACAGGTGAAGATCTCACATGCTGACCCAAGAAAAAAGGATAAAGACATCCTGTGCATCAAACTCTCAAGATGTTTTCCCTGATCCTAACAGGGTCAGCACCATCATTAACCCCTTAACTACATGGACGCATAGAAACCTCGCAACAGATCACGAGGGAATACTATTATCACCCTATCTGCCAGGAGAAACTGATGCAGAGCAGGTAAGTAATTTGTCCAAGTGTGACTTGCTGGGGTTGAAGTTACAGTGGTCTCTAGAAGAATAACTCTAGAACTCATGTCCATGAGTTGGTGATGCCATCCAACCATCTCATCCTCTGTCCCCCTCTTCTCCTGCCCTCAATCTTTCCCAGCATCAGGGTCTTTTCTAATGAATCAGTTCTTCACTTCAGGTGGCCAAAGTACTGGAGCTTCAGCTTCAGCATCAGCCTTTCCAATGAATATTCAGGGTTGATTTCCTTTAGGATTGACTGGTTTAATCTCCTTGCTATCCAAAGATTCTCAAGAGTCTTCTCCAACACCACAATTCAAAAGCATCAATTCTTCCATCTGGGTAAGCCCCTACCATTCCTCCAAGGAGAAACAAGGAAGCTTGAGTGGTCCAAGTTCCCACATTCAGAGCGCGTCTTTAGTGGGCATGTACAGAGGGTGCGCCCCGGGCTGTCTGTCCTAGAACCTGGAACTCAGTTCCCCCTCTATTCCCCGTGCTGATGGCTGTCCTTCCAATAGGCCCTCTCACAACTCAGGCGAGAGGGTCCCCTGTGACCCAGGGCAGTGCCCTTGCCCCCATGAGGCTCCCGGGGCTCCCTGACTGGCCCCGGCATTTTCACTCACTTCCTGCCAACCACCCTTGGCTCCTCACTCCTTCCACAGTGAGGAGACCATTTCCTTGCGTGCTGCTGTGCCTCCCTGCCCCCCAGCCAACTCCAGGTCACCTCTCCTGTCACAGCTTATGCCTTTTTTTTTGGCTACCCCACAAAATGTGTGATCTTAGTTCCTCGACCAGGGATCAAATCTGTGTCCCTTGCATTGGAAACTCAAGAGTCTTAACCAGGGAGGTCCCTCTAGTCAGAGCTTAATGTCACCTCCCCAGGCACATTTCTCCCAGGCCCCTGGATTTCCCTCATCTTACCACTTCCTGCACTTGTAAGGACCGTGAGCCCCACAAGGGCAGGGGCCACCTTGTCTTGGCCACCTCTGAACCTCAAGCACCAAGCATAGCGTAGGTGCTCAATGAAGATGGGTGGCGAACTTCATGGTGGTCCAGTGGTTAAGAATCCGCCTGCCAGTGCCGGAAGACACGGGTTCGATCCCGGGTCCGGCAATGAAGCCTGTGCAGCACAACCACCGAGCCACGCTCTAGAGCCTGCGCTCTGCAACATGAGGCCACTGCAATGAGCCTGCGCTCTGCAACGAGAGAAAGCCCGTGCACAGCAACAAAGAGCCTGTGTGCCTCAACCAACACCCAGCACAGCCAAAAATAGTTTAATTTTAAAAAAAAGATACCAGGTGCATAAAGATGTAGCCCAAGAAGAATCAAGTCCCTGGCTTGTCAAGACCTTAACCTTCAGGCACTGACCCCACCTCGGTGGCACCCCAGAGTCCTTCCCCAAAGTCCAAGAGAAGCCGTGAGGTCAGCATCCTGTGAGCACCTTCCCCTCCTAACAGCAGGTAAAGGCTGGCCAGGGGCGGCCAGGGCCCCCCCTGTGGCCCCCCACCCAGGGATCAGTCAGACAGACTCAACTCGGTTAACTGGTTATTGTTTATTCCCAAAGAGAGAAGGCACGTGGTGTTCAGACACAAGCATGTACAGTTCGTGTATCTGATTCCAAATAGCTGAAAAGAACCAACAGATTCTCCTGAGCACCAGCCTGGTCCAGGGGACAGACCCCAGAGGGCAAAGGCAAGGAACCAGCTAACCATCGTTTCTATTTACATGGAAAATCACTGCACAAGTTAAAAAAAAAAATTAAAATCTTTGGACCAGCCTGGTGAAGAGGTAATAAGGTGTTTATTAAAAACTTTTTCACCCGGAGGCAATTAACATTTATAATTTAAAACCCGACCCACTACAAAAGGGGAAGGGGGGAAGGGGGGTTCAAAACTGTGCAACATTGACAGAAGGACCAGGAGAGTCAGAGCCCCGGGCCGAGGGCTCCCTCCTCTCCCAGGGCCAGGAGCAGCAGCAGGCTGGACCCTGGGGTGCCCCCAGCCCCTGCTCGGCGCGCGCTGGGCTTCCCCAGGGGGGTGGGGCCCCGCGGAGGAGCCCTCAGTAGTGTGATCACTGTGCAGGCCGCACACGCGTCCCGTTCACTCCGCTGCGGGAGACAGAGACAGGAACACCAGGGCGTGAGCCCAGACGCGGAGGCTTTCCGGCAAGTGGGGGCACGTGCTAAGGCTGGGGTGAGCCCAGGGGTCGCGGGGAGCGAGGACAGGGCCTCCTCCTCCTCCTCCCACCCCCGCCAAGCCCGCAGCAGTGCCCAGAGCCCCTACCTCCCCCGTTGCTGAGGCTGTACCCCACGGCCACGCGCTGAGAACGCCAATCGCCACAGCTCCTGCGTGGGCAAAGTCGGGGCTGTCACTGTCCACGGGACTCTGGACGAGGACCCTCATGCCCACAGCTCTCCTGGGACCTGGGGCCCGCCCCGGCGAGCCGGACAGTGACTCACCCTCGGTCTCCCTCCAGCGTGCTCTGGATCTCCTTCAGAACCCCTACAGGGCAGAGGCGGGAGCGGAGGCCTGGTGAGGCCAGTGCAGGTGGGCCTCTCCCCTCCTTCTACCGACCCGGTGAACCGGCCTGCCCTCTGCCGGAAACCAGCCCGCGTCTCCACCCTGGCCTTCCAAGTAGCCCCCACCCCCGCCCCACCCCGAACTTCCCTCCTGCCAGCCCCCCAACTCCTGCCCCGACTCACTCTCGTCATTGAGTAGAGCATGCTCCATCACAGGGCCCGACCTCCGCGCTGAAAGGCAGGGGCCAGGCCACGTGAGCCATGGGCCCTCTGCGGGGGCAGGGGTGCTGGAGCCAGAGCCCAGGACCGCAAGGGGAAGCTGTGTGACCCCCAGCCCGAACGCCGCCTGACCACCTGGGCTCCCCGACCCTCCCCAGCGGCCCTTGTCGCACTCTGCCCCCACACACCCCCGGCCCCAGAGAGTTCCGCCTTACCCTCTCCATCACTCTGGCTGCCTGAGTTCCTGTGGGGAAGAGACCGTAAGGATCAGGGGCCACGGGGCTCCCCATTCTGGCTGGGAAAGGGTGGGTGGGGGTGCTGGCTGAGTTTTGGGGGAAAGGGACTCTGAGCAGCCCCAGAGCGGGCACCCCAGGGAAGGCGGGGCGAGGAGCAGCTGGAGCAAAGGCCACCTGCCCTTGCACCCACCTGGCTCGGCCCAAGGACTTCTCGGGGCCTGACCTGTTGCGTGGGCGGCTGCGGTTCTTTGATTCTGCTGAATCCACCAGACATCGGGGCTCAACCAGCCACTTGGTGGAAAGAGAGAAGCGCTCAAACTCGGAGGGTGAGATCAGATAGAAACCTGGTGGTGGGGTGGAGAAGGCTGGCAGGTGAGGGCAGCCCGAGCTGGCCCTGTGGCTGCCAACAGCACTGCACTACCCACTCCTGGTCCCCACCTTGGGGGTCATTAGTGACCAGAGCCTCCGAAAGTTCTCTGCCTAAGGATCCTGGCTTTGGCCGAAATACCCCACGCTGTCCTTCCCAGCAGCACCCGCGATGCAGTGGGAGCCCCAAACCTGGCCCAGGGGGGCAGAGGCCCCGCCGGGCCCGCCCCCCACACACCTTGGCCGTATTTGGTGAAGACGCATGAGGCGATGCCACTGACGTCCTCCCGGCGGATGCAGCTGTACCGCACCTGGGGCTTGAGCAGGGGCAGCGAGACCACCTGGACGTCGCCCAGGTTGGTGAGGACGGCCAGGTGATGCTCCCCGTAGTCCTCGGCTCGACAGCTGCCGAAGCGGGCAGCGCTGACCCGCCGCACCCGCGAGCCCTCCAGGGCGGTCAGCTTCAGCTTCAGCCGGGCACTGACCTTGGGTAGCGTGAACACCTAGGGCGCAGGGCAGCCGGTCACGCTGGCGGCCGGACCAGGGGGCAGTGCTTCATCCAGCCCAGCGAGGCCTTCTCGCGTCCCTGCCCGGTGCCGCTGCTGGGCATGACCCTCTGCCACCTGCCCAGCTTCCCGGCGAAGCCCGCGAAACCCCAGTGCGCCCGCCCTTGGCGCTCAGACGTGTGGTTACTGCGCTTGCACTGCGAGGATGCCAGGGTCTCTTAGTTCCCTGTCTGCATCTTCTGTCCCTTCCACAGACACAAGTCCTGCTTCAGTGCTCCTACCACTGACCCTGGGGACTCCACCAAGACCCCCGCTTCTCTCCGGTGCTTCCGCAGCCCTCACACAACTACAAACACAGCTTTAAGGGAGTCCCAGCGGTTGTCCTTCGTGGAGGGGTCCCTGGGGGCCCCGCCTTCTCCCGTAAGGCACCTTGAACTGCTCCTCTGACACGACGAGCAGCTGGTGGCTCCCCTGCATGTCCGGGCTCTTTGACAGGTCGTGGGCCACTTCCAGGGGCTCGGGAAGGGGCACGCTGTGTCCGTCCAGCACCAGGATGCCCACGACGGGCGCTCGGTGCATCAGCTGGATCTCCTTGGCTGCAGGACGGAGGGAGGCAGCGGGGATGGAGGTGAGGTTGGAGATGCCACCCTGCCCCCGGCCTAGGCAGACAAGTGCCCTCCCCCGGCCCAGCACTCACCCTGCTCCGCCCGCACTGGCTCATCCATTCTCCGCTCGGCAGGGGGCACGCGCAGGGCAAAGGCGTAGACGGTGCCGCCATTGGTGCCAGCCCACAGCGAGGGGCAGTGGCGGGAACCTGCCAGGAGGCCGAGGTTTACATTTAACCCCTGACTCTGGGGCTCAGGGGGAACCAGGAGACCTGGCTCACTACCTGTGTGACTCCAAGGTCAAGGCAGTGAACTTCACACGTCTCACTTTCTTCCTCTGTGAAATGGAGCTGCTGTGGGCCCTGCCTACGTCCTGCTGTAGACAGGAAGGGCCTGCAAGGCTCCCTGACAATCAAGGGCCCCGTGCAGATGATCCCAAGCCCAGGAAGGCTCAGCCCTCAAGATTACAGCAGCAAACAGCCCTCGGCCCACCCTCACCCTGGCAGGAGAAGAGACACAGTCAGACAGCTTCCAGAGGGCCTCCTGGGTACCAGCAGGCATGTGGCATGTCCCAACGCATGCAACCACTCTAGGAGGAAGCCACGCCCCCATTTTACAGGGGGAGAAGCAAGACCCAGAAAGGCTAAGTGACACATCCAAGGTCACACTTCTAGAGTGTGGTGGGGCCTGGGTATGAAGCCAGGGCGACCAGACTCAGAGACCCAGGCCACGGAAAGAGGCAGGCGCGGGGGCTCCAGCTCTCCCCGAGCTCAGGAAGCAGCAACCCTCTTAAGGGCAAATCAGCCAGCAGCTTCCAACACACCCTCAAGCCAGAGGATGCCTGCCCAGGCCCCCCCATTTCAGACCGGCCACTCACTGTCCCTCAGGTAGGTGTCGGCGAAGTAGAGGGTCCGGACGAAACCCGTGAAGGAGTCCTCTGCTGACCGCGCCTCGATCTTGCGCTGAACGGGCGCCAGCTCCATGTTCTGCAGTCCGGTCCGCTCTGCCCTGCTGCTCCCCTCCTGCACCTGCGGCGGGTGGGTGCGGCCTGAGGGTGAGTGTGGGCCTTCCTTCCCGGGGCGGGGAGGGCATCGGACTGCTCCACGCTTCCCTTCAGGGAGGACCAGCCACCGCGCCCCCTGCCATCCGCCTGGTCTCAGAGACCGAGGACATGACCCCAAGGTGTTACAGAGACTGCCATTCACACTTGGGGACAGAGAGGAACAGAGGCAGAGCGATAGATCCGAGGTCACGGGGTCGGGCGGGGGGAGATGAGCCGGAGCCTGCAGCCTAAGCAAGCACGGCCGGCCCTGGCCTCACCTCTCCCGGAGGGCCAGCGGGCCGCCGCTTCCTGCTGGACGCCCGGCTGCGGCGGATCCGGCGGAAGGACTGGCGCAGGGACTTCTTCAGGGATTTCACGCGGGACAGCGGGCCCTCCAAGGCAAGCTGGTCACTGGGGTGCAGCGTGCACCTGGGGGCGGGGGGACGCAGGGCCGTCACACCGTCACACTCTGAGGGACACCCTGCTGGTTCAGGGGCCGATCCCAGACCTGGGCCCTGGCCTCCCTGGGTGGGCTGCTCACTTGACAAAGACCTGCCGCCGCTGCTGGTGGTCAAAGAGGCCGAAGCCGTGGCTGGTGCCGAAGGCCACGAGCCGCCACTCGGAGTGCAGGGCCAAGGAGGTGACCACGGCCGGGGGCTGGCACTGCACCAGCACGAAGGGCTGGAAGCCGGGCTCAAAGTGCACAGGCCCCGGGCGGGCACACAGCCGCTCGTGGCCCTTCCAGCGGTAGCCCTCCTGGTCTCGCAGCAGGTCGGCCTCCACCTGCTCCACCACGTGCTCTGCCTCCTCGTCGTTCAGCTCCAGCACGAGCACCTGGGTGGGCGGCAGATGGGCTGAGCCACCCTGGCTCCAAGGGACAGCTGGGCGCCGGGGCCCCAATGGCAGAGGACCCAAGACACACGCCAAGGCCCAGGGTCACAAGTGCCCAACCTCTGGTCCTTAATTCTGGCTTCTGGAGGAGAAGTCGCCATCCCAAAGGCCTCCCTCTAATGGGATCTGGGAACTCCTATTCACTGGGAAAAGTCAAGGGCGGGTGACGCTCCTGGTGACACCATCAGTGGGCGCTCAGGAGGCTAGCTCCTGGCCCTGAGTGTGCATGCTAAGTCACTTCAGTTGTATCCAACTCTTTAGACCCCATGGACTGTAGCCCGCCAAGCTCCTTTGTCCATGGGGATTTTCCAGGCAAGAGTACTGGAGTGGGGTTGCCATACCCTCCTCCAAGGCGTCTTCCTGATCCAGGGATCGAACCTGGTCTCTTACGTCTCCTGCATGGGTAGGCGGGTGCTTTACCAGTGAGCCGCCTGGCAAGTCCAGGCTCCTGGCCCTGCTGTTCCCAACCCCCCCGCACAATACTGAGAAGGAAGCTCCTGGCCCTGGACGCTGCCCTGCGTCCTCTGACCAACCCTCCCCGCTGCTCCCCACACCCAGCCTGGGATGCTACCTGCCCTGCTGTGCCAGCCACAGCCAGGTAGCCGCTGTATTTGCAGAGGAAAATCTTCTGGATGCCCAGCCGAGGATCATCACTATAGGGGTCAAAGGAGCCCACCTGCCGAGGGAGAGGAGGCCCGTGAGTGGCCGTCAGCTCTGGGCCTGGCCCGCCACCAGCCTCCCTGGTGCGCAGGCTCCGGGCCTCACCTTGCGGAGGGGTGGCCATTCTTCCTCGCCCTGGGCACTGAGGCTCTCGTTGGGGTCTGTGTCAGTGAGGAACACCCGCACGGTGCTAAGCTTGTAGAGCAGCCGCAGGCAGACGCCTGAGGCGTCCCAGAACCGCACCGTGCCGTCCTCGTGCCTGTGGGTGGAAGCGGCCTGCCGCCAGTCAGAGGGCTGCCAGGCCGGCACGCAGCCCTCTGGGCTCTGCTCCCACCCCGCACATCCCACTCGGCAGGAGGAGAGTGCCATCGGCGTCACCTACCCCGTGAGCAGCAGGTCCCTCTGCGGCGGGGCCGGGGCCAGGCTGGTGCCGCCGTCAATGGGCCACTCCTGGAGGAGATGAAGAAGTTCACGGGTGGGGCGGGGCGGGGCGGGGCGGGGCTGGCCCTGAGGGTGGGGCCTGCCCTGGGTGGGAGGGGCCTGAGGCAGGGCGGGGCCGGGCCGAACCTACCATGGTGGAGAAGTGTGTGCTCTGCCGGCTGCCGGCTGCTATGATGCGTTCCCACAGTTTCAGCGGGATGTTGGAGACATGGTGGGAGCAGGTGATGGCAGAACAGTGTAGGGAGGCCAGGTAGGGAGGCTGGACCGGCGGCCAACCAGCCGTCTGCAGGTCAATCACCACCAGCTCCTCCTCGGCCAGCACAACTAGGGCATAGGGGTCATCGAAGGCTGTGGGGACAGGCCAAGGGTCAGGGGCTGCAGGAGCCACAAGGAAGCAGTGTGCCCGGCCCTGTAGCCAGGGAATCTGCATTTTACAAACAGCTCAGGGAATTCCTTGGTGATCCAGTGGCTAAGACTCCATGCTCCCAAGACGGGGAGCCTGGGTTCAATCCCTGGCCAGGGATTAAAATCCTGCATGTCGCATCTAAGGATCCTGCATGCCACAACTAAGACTGAGCACAGAAAAATACATAAATTTAAATAAATATTTAAAAATAATAAATTATTTAAAACAGGCTCCACCCATCAGCAGATGAATGGATGAGGAAGCTGTGGTACATATACACCATGGAATATTACTCAGCCATTAAAAAGAATTCATTTGAATCAGTTCTAATGAGATGGATGAAACTGGAGCCCATTATACAGAGTGAAGTAAGCCAGAAAGATAAAGACCATTACAGTATACTAACACATATATATGGAATTTAGAAAGATGGTAACGATAACTCTATGTGCAAAACAGAAAAAGAGACTCCTATGTATAGAACAGACTTGTGGACTCTGGGAGAAGGCGAGGGTGGGATGTTTCAAGAGAACAGCATTGAAACACGTATATTATCTAGGGTGAAACAGTTCACCAGCCCAGGTTGGGTGCATGAGACAAGTGCTCGGGCCTGGTGCACTGGGAAGACCCAGAGGGATTGGGTGGAGAGGGAGGTGGGAGGGGGGACCGGGATGGGGAATACATGTAAAAAAAAAATAAATTAATTAATTAATTAATTAAAAAAAAAAAAAAACAGGCTCCAAATCCAACAATGCATAAAAAGAACTATATGCCATGACTAAGTGGGATTCATCCCAGGTAGGCAAAGTATCCCAGGTATATCAATATTTGAAAATCAATTAATGTAATGTATTGTGTCAACAGGCTAAAAAAGGAAAATCACATGAGTATAACACTGGGTGCAGAGAAAGTGTTCGACAAAACCCAATACCCATTTATGATTAAAAAAAAAAAACAAACAATTCTCAGTAAAGAGAAAAACAGAGGGGACTTCCTCAACTTGATGAAGAATATCTAGGAAAAAACCTACAGTGGATGTAATAATCGATGGTGAGAAACCTGAAGCTTTCCCACTGAGATCAGGAACAAGGCAAGAAAGCCTCCTCTCACCACTACTATTCAAGCACTAGCTAACGCAGTAGGACAAGAAAAGGAAATAAAAGCTATGCAGATTGGGAAGGAAGGAAAACTGGTTTTGTTCACAGATCATCAGTGTAGGAAATCTAAAAGAACTGACCCAAAACTGGCCCTGGCTGCCAGCACGCTGTCAGATGTGAGGATGGAAGGGGCTGAGAAAAAGAGGAAAAGCAGGTTCACAGTCTCCCTCCAAAGGGCTGCCAGCGAGGCCTGGAGAGAACAGCCCAGGGCAACCGGAGCCATCCTGCACCCACCCTCACCCGGAGGCCTCGGGCCTGTTGGGTCAGAGCAGTCCGGGGAGGAGTCATCCGGAGATCTCCCGCCAGGCCTCCTCTCCAAATTTCGACACCGGCCCTTTCTGATCTTGCTTGTCACCCAATTTAGGAAGCTGACTCAGAGCCCTGCTGGCCTGGCTGAGCTCCAGGAGGCCAGCTCGAATGGTCCCATACTGCTGTCTGCCCCACCCCACAAGGAGGGCTTCACTATATCCAAGTGAGTGTTAAACCCAATAGTGCAGATCTGGCCCCCTTTGGGCTAAGTCCCAGGTGAGCCACTGAAGGGCAAAGAGAGCTTTAGGGTGGGCGGGAGGTGTGGCCAGCAAGGACAAGCCTCAGGCTAGCAGGGAAGGAAAGGAAGCAGCCCTCCGGGCACTAAGAGGAGGCCCGGTGGGGCTGAGGGACTCAGGGGTGGCAGCGGTGGGGTCACCTGCAGGCCCTTCCTCTTTGTCTACAGGTGGGGGCCCGCCCTTCACACCCACTCCTGCCTGCCTACCAGCTGCAGGGTCCACCTCGACGAGGACAGTGAAATCAATGACGCGGGAGGTGAAGTCGAAGGCTGTCTGCTGGCCGTTGTGGACCACGGAGATGCAGTGGCGGTCCCCGTAGCTGGCCCGCGGCATGCCGCCCTGGAAGATGGTGAAGGGCAACCTGGCAGGCACGGAAGAGCAGGGGTGGGCTGGGTCGGCCGAGGGACAGTCCTGTGATTGGCCTCCAGGGCAGGGCTTGGGAAGGTGGCCTATCTCAGGGTGAGTGTGCACTCAAGGTTCCCAGGAGGCACTGGGGCAGACCCCTATCTTGTGTCAACTCAGTAGCCCAGGAGAACGTGGGGGTGAGCAGCAGGGCACGCAGGCTGTGGGCTGAGTTTCTGCCACCACGCCCAACTCAATCAGACCCCATCACCCTTTTCTGCTTCTGTATCAAGTTTCCCTGTATGATTCTGTTTGGTAAGACAGAGTTTGGAACCTGCTGATCTGAATTCTCTCTCCAGGAGAGTGAAAGGGAAAGAAAGGGAATATTTTTTTTCAGGAATTTGCCAGAGAGAGGTATGAATGGCCCCCTCTGTTGCCTGGAGACCCAGATGTGGGACCCAAAGACACCCTTTACGTACCATCTCCCCCAGGGATAAGCCTGAGCAGCCTATTTGGCTCCCCAGGAAGACTCTAGAAAGGAAACAGGACAGAGCCCTGACACCTACCCCTGCTTGGTGGTCAGCCAGAAGATTTTGGTAATAGCTTTGCAAGGAAAAGGACCTAAAAGAGAAGGAATAAGCTTGAACGCTCCTCCTGCTTTCAGAGGCCTGTTGGCCGTGGCACAGACCCCCGCGCACCCATGGAGTGGATCTAGGCTTGGGAGTCTTGCCCGGAGCAGTTCCCACAGAAAGCCACATGGTGGGCATCAGAAAACCCGCCGTGTGGCTGTCAACACTGCCTTCACCCTCTCCGGGCCCCAGCTATTGCTCCTCTGAGTTGGGCACCTACACCTGGAAAGCAGGAGATCAGCTGGGGACTGGAGAGGACACTGCCCCGCTCACTGGCGGGCGGCCCCCGGCGGCGGGCAGAGCACTGACCGTAAGGCACACAGCTGCGCACAGGCTCCGGCTGCGGGGCGTCGCTGGACATGCGCCATTGGCAGTAGCTGCCGTCAGAATGGCAGCTGACGATCAGACGGCTGTCCCGCTGCCAGCAGACGTTTTCCAGTTGCTTCACGCAGGGAGAAGAGAAACAGCATGCGTGGGCTGGGGTCGGGGGGCGGTCCCATCGCCTGCGCCCCCCTGCCTCAGACAGGGGCTGGATGTGTCAGGTGGGGGGCGGGGAGAACCAGGCGGCACCCCTACCTGGCTGCTGAGGAAATGAGAGAGCACGCGGCTGCCCTGCAGGTCCCAGATGACCACGAGGCCCCGGCTGTAGCCGATGAGGATCTGGCCGGGGTCCCGGGGGTGCTCCTGCAGAGCCTCCACCATCTCAAACGCCCGCCGGTGGCGCGCCTCCTCTGGCAACCTGAGCGAGGGAACACTGTGAGCCAGGTCACCGGCCACCGACGCGGCACGGCCGAGAGCATGGCCACCCGTTAACTACATCCACAGCACCCGCAAAGCAGTGGGCGCTGAATGTGCCAAGCATGCAAAGGCTGCTAGGACGCATCGTCAAGGGGAGACAGAAGTAATGCGTAGAGAAGGACAATAATGCACAGAGATGGAGAAAACCCCCCAAGGATGCAGACACGGGGGTACACCACCACAAGGAAAGGCAAGGAAGTGATTTCTAGGAAAGTCCATGTGGTAGTTACCTCTGGGGGAGGGAGGGAGCTATGACTGAGAGGGGCAGGAGGGGGACCTTGTGTGGAGGGGCCGGGGCTGGCAAAGTTCTATCTTTGCCCAGAGCTGGCTGCATGGACACTCGCTTAACAAGAATCTGTTAAACCGTACATTCACATTTAGTGCACTTCTGTAAGGCACTGGCATTCCATAAAAATAGTTTTTAAGCCCCACAAAACAAAACTCTCTGTTATCAGCTGTCATGGCCTTGAGCCCCTCCTCCTTTTCTGAGCCTGGAATGCTGATGTGAAGTCTGGACGTGCTGCAGCCAACAGAAGCCTATGAGGCGGCAGGCACGGGATCAAGAGCCAACACCAAGGATGAAACGGAAACAGCCTGAATCCTGACAGCATGTCTATGCTCAAACCCAAATCTAACTCGCTATGTTTAAAACAAGGATTCAGACTCACAGGAGGGGTTCCCAGGGCACTCAGGCTAGGAAAGCCCAGCGAGGGCTCCTCCCTGACCCACTACATGCTCATCGGTGTGGGTGAGGTGGGCGCTGGCTTGGCCACAATGAGGAGCAGGTCCTTCCGCCGTCCTGCTGCAGGCCAGGTGGCCCTGTTGAGCACCAGCCGTGCCTGGCCCCCTGCAAACAGTCCTGCTCCAACCACAGTCACACTGCCCAGTGCTCAGAGGGACCCAGCCGCAAGCAGGAATCTTCCCAGCCCAGCAACACCCAGCTCGGCCTGACCGTCACCCGGGGCCTGGTGACTGTGAGCATGACAGGCCTGGGCTGGAGCCCTGAGGAAGCTCGGGCCCGAAAGGGCCACGCGCCCCAGCCCTGCAGTCTCCGCGGGCTCCTGCGGCGCTCCCCCACTGCTCCCCTTTGGGCCCTGGCACCCCCTCCCCACCCCCAGACCCGATCTGAACTCCTCTCTACCGCAGGCACCACCGTCCAGGGGCAAAGGTTCTGAAATGGTCTCAAGAATCCTACAGGTCACGGCTGTCAGGCGTTTGGAACCTGCCTGAGAGCGAACAAGTGGCTGAGACTCCAAGACACAAGCGTCAGCAGAAGCTGCCCAGCTGACCAGGAAGGCCTGGGCCTTGTCTGTCCTGCGGCGGAGCCCCGGGCTTTGAAAAGGGGCGGCACCGGTGCCAGGAACGCTGGGTTAGGAGCAGTATCACTACATGGTCATGGTGAGCCTCCTTTTCCTCCCCTTTAAATGGGACGACAAGTTGCTCCCAAGACCCCTTTTGGTGCTGGTGTGCTAATACTTTTGAGGGCGAGACGCTTAGTTTGGGGGACGCTGAGAGTCTGCCCTCCTATTCCTACAGACTTCCCAGGAGAGAAACGATAAGCTCCCGAGGCATCACCGGGCCGCGTCCACCCCGAGGGGCCTGGGGCTCACCGCTGCAGCACAGTGTCCGAGCTGATGGCCCGGTCCTCCAGCACGCGGAAGGCTGGCAGCTGCACTGCGAACACGTTGCCACTCTCGGTGCCCAGGTAGAGCAGCTGGCGGGAGGAGTGTGGCAGGACCACGGTGATTTGCGTGGCGCTGGGGGCAGCCCTGTGGAAGGGAAGGACGGCCTGTGAGCTGGCTGCTGCCCAGGCAAAGGGGGACCCATGGCAGGACAGCAGTAATCCACTGACTCCCTCTGCAGCCCCAGGGAAGCCCAGGCCCGGGGGGCCCTTTAATGGTGTCCATAGCGACTCAGACTTGGTAAACATATTGACTCTTTTCTGCCAAGACCGGAGAACTATGGCAGAGAGCTGGGGCTCAGCGGGGATGGGAGGAGGCAGCCCGCAGCCCGGCCCGCTTCCTGGCTACGGGCGCCACCAGTTCTCACCCCGGGGGGCCACGCAGCGTGAACGCCTCATCTTCCTGCAGCTCCGACACCCCGCCTTTGACCTTCAGGCTCCACAGGTGCAGGCTGTTGTCGTCCAGCAGGGTGACCAGCTGGCACTGGGGAGGGAACGGGGTGGGAGCGGCCAGCCTCGTTAACCAGGGCAGGGCAGCATTCCCCATGGCCTCGACACACCAGGGCTGCCCAGGGTGTCATTTCAGAGATGCGGGTCATTTCAGAGTGCCCCGGCGGCTGCTAGGGTGGCCATGAACTGCGGCTGGGGAAAGGCAGGTTTGTTCCGGGTCCTCTCATCAGCACCAAACCCAATAACAAGGGCATGGGGTAGGCTTACCTGGCCAGGCAGGAAGTGGATCTGCACCACGGTGTTATTCTCGCGGTGCAGGCCCATGAACTCCACCCCTGGGGCACCATAGCTAAGAGGAGAGGGCTCAGGATAACAGCTCCAGAAGGCAGGACCCCTCCCCACCCCCGGCCCGCAACTACGCAGCAGAGAAGGGCTCCCTCCCTCCCCCAGGCAGCGGGACCCCTCTGTGTGGGGGGGTCGGGTGGGGTGGGATTACGGTGGAGAGGAGGCAGCAGTAGGCCAGCCTGAGGACAAGGTCCAGGAACCTGACCCCCGAGGGGGAAGCCAGCCAATCAGGGAGGGCTGTCGCAGTCAGGCCAGCAGGGCTGACTCCTAAGAAGGGTGAAGCCTTATCTTGGCAACTGTCAGCCTGCCCACTGCAGCCCCCGGCCTCCCCGAGCCCCAAAACCTGAGCTGTAGGAGGTCATCAGCTACTGCATGGTGACACCCGTGAGGAGACACACAGCGGGCGCCTGTGGGCCCACCCACGGCAACTGGGGAGTGCCAGTCTTAGCACTGAGAGCTGTAACCAGGATATGGCCGTGGGCCGGCAATGATTAACCAGCCGAGGGAGGGCTGAGCCCTGTGGAACCTGGGCCTCTGCCCCCTGTGCATACACCACCCACTGCCTAGCTCCCTACCCCCATCCGGCAGCGGAGGAGCAGGAGGGAGCTACAGCTTCGCCGGAGGAGGTGCCGGCTGGGCCCTCCCCGGGTGACCCCCCCCACCTCCCAGTCCCCCTGGGTCCCACCCTGGGGGCTCAGGTCAGATCCAGGAGTGGGACTCCCAGACTTGTAGCCCAGCCCAGACGACCTGAGCAGCGATCCCCCATCCTGGCTTCTGAAATAGACCCACTGGACCATGTCGACCCTCAGGCCAGGGAAAGACTGTCCCTGCCAACGTGTGTGTGTGTAGACTGTCCCTGCCAATGTGCGTCTGTGTGTGTGTATGAGGGAGTGCACATGATCAGGCGTAGAAACTGGAAGAGCAGCTGCCCTAGCACAGCTCCTCTGACCCAAGGCCACCCTGTCTCTGGTTTGGACAGAGCCCTGGGGCCAGTCGACTGATTCTTCCGGGGTGGGGGTGGGGAAAGAAAAACCGCCGCAGCACCACTGCCCGGCCCATCCCTGGCCTGCACTTGCTGCGTTCAGGGCTGACTCCTAAGAGGGTACTTGGAACGTACTGGGAACGAGAGGAGTCATCTGCAACTTGTTTTTATGTGGACAGTGGAGGAGTCTTTTCTCGAATCTCACCAATGCCAAGGCCCCCAGCCCTTCCGGGGCCTCCCTTGATGGGAGCCGGGAGGACAGAAAGGATACAGCTTGACAGCCCCAGAGCGGGTGCCGATGGCCAGGATGCGCAGGGAGGGGCTGTAGCCGAGGGCGCTGGGCTGGTGGGGGAAGCCATGCTCCACCGTCTGCAACGAGAACCAGGCATGTACGGGCCTGCAGACATGTCCCCTCTGCCCCTCCACGGCTGGGGGCAGGGGTCAGCGCCGGAGGGCGGAGCTGCAGGACAGAGCCACCCATAGCAGGAAGGAGGAATTCAATCGCACCCGGGTCCCTAGCTGGACCCACCTGGGCCACACCCTCCATCCATTCCTGACCTGGTCCTTGGCCACATGGCCCTCCCTGGGAGCTCATTCTCCCCAGACTCCACGGGAGCCCCCTGCTCTCCAGGAACTCTGACATGGCTCCTCCACCGCCCGTACTGTGGGGAGCCCACCCAGCCCTCCTGCCCGGGTGCGGGGCCGGCACAGGGGAGGTACCAGGCGGTTCAGGAAGCCCGGCTGCGTCACAGCTCCAGGTGGGCGCATGGGGTCTGACAGAACCCACAGCCACCCTTCCTGACTCTGGGCCACCCAAGGCTCCTCCAGGGCTGAAACCCTGCCACTGTGAGCTCTCTTCCACCATCTTTCCATGGAGGAAGCTTCTCGAGTGCTTGTCACAGACACATGCCTTTGCTCACTTCTCTTTCTAGAAGTAATACATGTGGGAGAAAACCTGGAACATACAAAGGAGCTTGAGAAAAGGAACAAAAGTCACCCACACTCTCACGACCAGAGAAACCCTTGCTTGCAAGGGCGTAGGTGTGTGGCTCTATACTTGCAGATAGCGACCTCAGAGGAAGGCAAACACTCTATGTTGTCACTTATACGTGGAATCTAAAAAAATACAACCAACTAGCAAATATAACCAAAAGAAGTAGACTCACAGATGTAGAGAACAAACTAGTGGCTACCTGTGGGAAAGGGTCAGGAAGGGCATACAAAGGTGGGGAGTGTGAGGTACAGATTACTGAGTCTAAGATAGGCTCAAGGATGTATCATACAACACAGAGAATAGAGCCAACACTTTCCCCGATAGCTCAGTTGGTAAAGAATCTGCCTGTAATGCAGGAGACCCCAGTTTGAGTCCTGGGTCAGGAAGATCTGCTGGAGTAGGAATAGGCTACCCACTCCAGTATTCTTGGGCTTCCCTTGGGGCTCAAGAGACCTGGGTTGGGAAGAGCCCCTTGAGAAGGGAAAGTATTCTGGCCTGGAGAATTCCATGGACTGTATAGTCCAAAGAGTAGGACACAACTGGGCAACTTTAATACTTCGTAACAACTGTAAATGGAAGTAACCGTTCTAAAAAAAATTTTTTTAAATTTTGGGATTTCCATGGAGGTCCAGTGGTTACGACGCTGTACTTCCACTTCAGGGGGTACAGGTTTGATCCCTGGTCGGGGAATACATATATATACATATACATTTAAAAATTTTTAAATAAAAATATAAATAAAGTATAAATTAAAAAAACAAACAAAAAAGCAGAGACTTAGGTGGGATCACACCACATGGATATATGTACACACATACAGCTCTGTATTCGGTCTTCCTACCTATAGCCAGCCCAGGCTGTTCAAAGCACCAAAATGACTTTTTAAAAAATTATTATTTTATTTATATTTTTGCTGCACTTTTCAGCTTGTGGGATCTTAGTTTCTCAACCAGGGATTGAACCCAGGCCATGGCAGTGCCAAGTCCCAAATACTAGACCACCACAGAACTCCCTAAAATGACTTGTAAATGGCTGAAGAATAGTCTTCAGGGGGAGGTACCCTAACTCACTAGGCCTCTCTTATTGAGTATTTACTTTGTTATCCAAGGTTTTGCAACTGACGGTTACACTGATGACCATTCTTGCTCTCTTATCTCTGCCTATAACTAAGAATTTCCTTAGGCAGATGTCCTGGGGTGGAATTACAGGTTAAAAAGGTATGGATGTAAGCAGTAGGACTGAGATTGACAACCATCTTCAGGAGGATTTTTACTGGTTTCTTAGTCGGCATACCTCAACCCCTGGCCCCCACCCCAGGGGATACTGAACCCGTAGAGCTAGATTAGAGTGGGACACAGGACGTCAGCCAGCAACTTTGAAGATTTTTTTTCTTTTAAGCCATGGAGACTGTCCTGCAGAAAAAGGCTTCCCCAGTGAGGCAGCTCTCTGTAGGCCCAAGGCTCTGCTCTGGGCTTCACTTGGCCTCCAAGGAGCAGAGAGAGATAAGTCCTGGTGACAGCTGGGGCGATAGCTTAGCAAACCCAACTGCTGCCTGCCTGCCTGCCCTGGCCAGTGGATCCAGGAAGGAGGCCCTGTGCTGGGGTCGACCAGGGGACGAGAGCTCCAAAGAGTGGCTATTCTGGGATGCATAGGTGTGGGCCCCCGCAGGCCCGGTTCTCTGCCAGGGACACAGTCTGCCCTCTACGTGGCTGTACCTGGAAGGGGGCAGCAGTGGGCCAGCAGGAACCCCCCCAACCCGCTCCAGACCAGGTTCCTGTTCAGCTATGCAAAAAATGCAGAGCCTTGAAAAGCCTTGGGGAGATAGCAGGGTATCTGGAATGTAAACATTTCCCAGGAAAAGGAGGCTGATGCGGTGTGTGGGACAAGCTGCCCCAGGAGCCCCCCTCGGCCGGCCCCAGGTTGCTGGGGCCTCCCTGGGCTGACAGCATGTTCCCATCACCACCAGCAGCAGCAGCTCAAGGCCAAAGCCTCTGGAATCTGGAGGACGGTGGAGGAAACAGCCAGCAGAAGCCTGGGGGGCCCAAGCCCTGATGCCCTGTAAGACACCCACAGGCCACGAGGAGATCCTGCGCCCTCGAAATGTGGCTACTGCCGCTAGGGAACTGAGCTTCTAATTGCATTTAACTTAAATTCAAGCATGGGCCTTCACAATCCAGTAATTAGAAAACTTTACAGGTTATGTTCTTGGGTTCCAGAGCAACAGGGGCTGAAGTCAGGCGCACCAGAGCCTTGAATTTCCTTTTTCAACTTCCAAATGCTAAATATAGATCACGTATTCCAAAAGAAAATGTAATGGCCAAATTGAGATGTGCTGTAAGTATAAGATAATCCTTTTTATTTAAAAAAAAATTAAGAAAATCTAATATCTATTGACTACATGTTGAAACAATGACATTTTGGATATATTGGGCTGAACAGAATACCTCATCAAAATTAAATTCACTTGTTTTAAACACTGTAATGTGACTCCGACAACATTTTAAATTGTGTACGTCTCATATTCCTATCGGACCAGGGTGCTGCCTTAGACATGTCTACCTCGGGACATTGGCAGGGAAGTCAAGCCAAAGAGACAACAGGTTTCCATCAGGGGCTCAGAGCACACGTTATCCTATCAACGAATCAGCAGGAAGTTCTCCTAATATCACACCTGAGTCACTCCTGCTGCAGGTCACTCTTTCCTCCAACCCAGTGGGAGATAAAGGTCAGGTCTATGGTTCAATCACCTGTACTCATAGCTCATTTCCTTTCGGGTCCTGAGGACACCTTTCCCTCCCAAACCACATTCTTTCTCATAGGCTGGTTTAGAAAGAACAGGAACTGAGTCAGGCCCACGAAACTTAGAATCCTCAGCTATCACTTAAAAAGTGTGTGGAGCTGGGCAAGCTACATTGCCTCATTTCACGTGTGGTCCACAGGACGATCCTAAAGACTGCACGGAGCAGGGCTGCCTTTGGCTTGGACAAGATGAGCCTCAGGGCCCAGTTAGCCTCACAGGGCAAAGGCCCCTGCCTCCTTCAACGATTCTCTCTCATTCCCTCATATCCCTCAAGGCGTCTTCTCCAAGTTGACAACTCAGGAGGGACCAAAGCTCCCTCAAAAACAAATTAATGGAGGAGTTCCCTGGTGGTCCACTGGTTAATACCCCATGCTTCCAATGCAGAAAGTGTGGGTTTGATCCCTGGTCAGGGAAACAAGACCCCACATGCCTCACAATGTGGCTGAAACAAAACAAAATGGGAGGGAATTTAATGGTGACCCTAACTGGCTCAGTCAATCCTAAAGGAAATCAATCCCGAATAGTCATTGGAAGGACCGATGCTGAAGCTCCGATACTTTGGCCACCTGATGTGAAGAGCCAACTCGTTGGAAAAGACCCTGATGCTGGGAATGATTGAGGGCAGGAGCAGAAGGGGAGAACAGAGGACAAGATGGTTGGATGGCATCACCGACTCAATGGACATGAGTTTGAGCAAACTCTGGGAGATAACGAAGGATAGGGAAACCTGGTGTGCTGCAGTCCATGGGGCGGCAAAGTCAAACTGAACAACAACTAACTGTCTGGGGCCAAAAGAGTGAATTCGAGTGTAATTAGTGTGGAGACAGGGGCTTCCCCAAGTCCGGGAGCAGGCACAGTGGCCCTGCTTCCACAGGCAAATAAGAGCCACGAACCCCTCACTGAGGCAAAGCGAAATGAGGAATATGCGCTTGGGGACCCAGCAGAACAAGCAGCCATGGGGACTCCAGGCCAGTTATGAGGGGCCCTGGTGGTCTTGCTGGGGTTTGGATATGGGGTGAGAAGAGAGGTCAGTGAAAGCCTGGAGGGGAACAGGGAGGAGGTGGACCCCCAGGGCGGGAGACGCCGGGAGAGGCAGAGGCTTCCACAAGGCACCGCGGCCTGCGCTCTGGCTGCCCCCCACGCTCAGGTGCCCCTCCCTCCAACTCCTCACGGCCTTTGAAGAATCGGTTCCACCAGGCCCAGGTGAGCAGGAACCCTGCCCCTGCCCATGGCGGGTGGAGGGTTTAGGCACAGCTCCAGGACCCCAGAGCATGGCAGGTATCAGACCTCCCTTAAAGGAAGCAGCTCCCGGGTACAGGAGGGGCTCAGCCCCGGGGGTGGGGGGGGCCCTGTGTGGACTTCCAAGGCACAGAGCAACCCCCACCAGCCCTCCGCCCAGGACGCAGGCCCAGCCCTCCCGGCCGCCTCCGGCTCCGGTTCGAAGCAGAGGCTGACCTCCTCTACCTCCCGGGCCCAGCGTCCAGCCTACCTGGCACTGTCCCCGCCCTGCCACCTGGCTCAGGTGACCTCTGTGGAGAGAAGGGAGAACAATGAGCCCTTTTGACAGGGAGTTGGGAAAGAAGAGATTTGTAGGAGCCGCCAAACTGCAACATTAGCCTGTTGTGGAGAGAGAGAAGGCCTGTCTGCCTCACTCAGGCTCTGGGGCCCCATTTCAGGCTCCCCGGAAGGGAGAGAGCACAGGGGGCCCTTCCTCCTGCCCCTAGAAAGGGGGGACCCCCTCCAAGACCAAGGGCTGAGGAGCCCCTAGCATTTGCTGGCGGTGGGGGAAGGCTGCCCAGGGGTGCCCGGGGGTGTGCTGGGGGGCGAAGTGGGGGACAGGGAGGCACTGACCCAGACTGGGTGTGGTCAGCCCAGATTCCTGGCGCTGGCAGCAACCTGGCCTCCCTGGGAGGCTGTCACCTGACACCAGGGGCCCAGCCATGCAAAAGCCAGGACCAGACCGCCTGGCCCTGGACAGGGGCAGCTGGTCAGGAACACGCTGTTTGTTCAGGGCCTGGGGTGGGGGAGGGTGGTCCCAGGCAGGAAGGGCGCCCTTATCTGCCGGCTGGCAGGTCTCACCAGGGAGGCCGGCCGGGCCTCGAGGGATTTTTCAAGGAAGAGATTTTACTTAACGTGAGCGACGTGCCCTCTGGGTCCCTTCCTCCCTCCTGGGGGTCCTGCAGTCCCTACGTGTGGTCCCCAGCAGCCCTGTTGGCATGGCCAGCTGACTCCTCTCTCCTCCCAACCGGCCCGAGGACCCAGCAGCTGGCACGGGTGAGAGTCAGGGCCAGCACCCTGAGGCCTTGGCTGTGGGCAGATGGAACTGGGTGCTGGGTTCCGAGTCGGTGCCCCTCCAGGTGCTCAGGCCGTGCAAGCTTGGAGGCCTCAGTTTCACCTGCAGGAGCGGGAACACTACCACCTAAGCCGTCAGGAAGAGGCGAAGATAAGGCTGACTCTGTAGGGCACCGGACGTGTGTGGGTGCCATTCAAAGCAATTTAACTCACTCAGCATACCACCCGCGGTGGAGGGGTTACTATAATACCCACTTTACAGATGAGTAAACTGAGGAGCAGAGAGAGTAACGTTTCTGCAGTCACTCGGGGAGCTGGCATCTAGACCCAGACCACCTGGCTCCAGAGTCCTGGCCCAAACTTTGTGCCACCTGGCCCCTTCGCTGCCTGGCCTAGAGCCCCCAGTAAACCGGAGCTGCCCTTCAGACAATCAGCCCCCAGCAGGGGCTTCCGAGCATCTGTCCACAGACAGAGCTCCTTCCCAAAGACACAGGACATGCTGCTCTCTCTGAGGCACCTCCCTCAGTGAGTGTCAAAGAGTTTCGCCAGAAGGTGCTGGAGGGAGAGACCCAGCGCTGGCTTAGAAGTGGGTATCTGCAAGCTGCTTGGGACTGGCCGATGATGGTGCCAAGTCCCACTTCCCAGCTCGGTGCCCTGCAGACCAGCCCTTCCAGGGCGGACACTGCCTGCTTCCCCAGATGTGAGGCTCTGAGCTCCAGTTCTGTGCCTCCCACTGTCTGCTGGGACCTGGTCACACACCTCTGCTGGAGGGTGCCAAGACCCTCCAAATTCAACCTCAAGCCAGATAACATTCACAGCGCTGTGCTAATACTAGAACCACTGGCCACTTAGGCCCCTTGACTTACACACTAACTCTTAATCCGCACACCCACACTGCAGAATAGTTTCTACCAGTCTCTCCATTTACAGATGAGGAACTTGTCCAAGGGGGCGACAGAGGATGAGATGGTGGGATGGCATCACCAACTCGATGGACAGGAGTTTGAGCAAACCCTGGGAGATGGTGAAGGACAGGGAAGCCTGGCGTGCTGCAGTCCACTGACATGACTGAGCGACTGAACAAGAACTTGTCCACGGTCACCTGGCTGGTGAACCAGGCAGTAGGGTACCTGACTGACACCACGTCTGAAGATGTTTTTGGTTGTCACGTCTTACGGAGGCAGGGCTGGGCATGCTGCTGCTCCTGAAGGCCCCAAATGTCAACAGTGCCAAGCCTAGCACCCCACCGCACTGCTGGGCCCCATCCAGTCAATGCAACATCTCCTAAGGGTTCTGAGCTTACCTGCTTCAGAGTGAAAGGCTGAAAAAAGTCCCAGAAGCACCTTAGCTAAGTAATAAATGAGATCGCTCACATCCCTGCTCAAAACCCACCAGGCTCTGGTGTAGCAGACCCAGACTCCGAGGTTCCAGCCTCCCTGGACCTCATGGCTGGGGGCGGGGCTTGGGCTCCCCAATCACCCAGGATCCGCCTCACCCTCCAATCCTGACCCTTCAGGCTCCACCATTCACCCAGAGCCTAGATGAGTCTAAGGCCCTCCCCTTCCACAAAGATCTCCCAAGACTTCCCCCCTTCAGACCATCAGCCCTCTTCCTTCCACCAGATTATAAACATCCTGGAGGGCAAAGGTCTTATCTGAGATTCTCAAAGCCCCAACCCTGGGTTATGTATACAGTAGGTACTCAAAGCATGTTTCTCAGAAGAGAATGGAAGGAAGAAAGAATTCCAGGAGCCTCCCCTCCCTCTCCCCAGCCAGGCCTGGGGGTGGGGCAGCCGAATTTGGGGGCATGGTGGGGGGGTGATTCCTCTACCCAGGCCCCACCCCAGCTCCACCCTGTTGCTCCACAGTTGGAACTTGGGGCGGGGGTTCATCCCTCTTCGCTGAGCCTGTCTATCCGGTTTGTGCTGGAATCGGCCACCTTTTCGGGGTGTAAGATCCCAGCGTCATCAGGGGCAATGGAAGGCAACAGCGGCCACACCCAGGCCCTGTGGTGGGTGCTGAGGTTCTGAGACCCAACACTCAACACCCATGAGCTGCTCCCTTGGGAATGAGAATGGCAGCTCCCCCCATTCATAACACCTGCGTGTGCACACACCCATCCCAAGGCCTAAAAGCCCCGCCCACGGCTTCCTTACCCCAGTGGGAAAAGGTGTTCCTTTAGGGAAGCCCTCATCCCAGAGGTGGGTAGCCTCAGAGCCACAGGTCAAGAAAATTAGAGGAAAATGGCAGAGCACGTTGGGACCCTGACCAGCCTTGAACATGCCCCTGGGAGCTCCCTCTCCCTGGGAGGCATGCAGCCCCAGGAAACAGCAGCTGGCACTCCCGGGCCACTGTGCCCAGCCCTTAAATAATCTAATTCCACGTGGTCCACATGATGGGCCTACACAGTGCGTGATAGGCAGAGGTTCCCCCCCGCTTCTAAGAGGCTAAGCTGGATTGGAAGCCCACCCGTCAGCGGGGCCTGGAGGGACCCTGGGCGCCCCTCCAAGGGGAGAAGCACCTTGCTGCTCCTCTTCCTGCCATCCACCTTCCGGAGGGGAGGCCGGGGCCTACATCAAAGCAGAAATGAGAGGGGCTAATTACCCCAGATTGGCTTCAGATTGCTAGGTGGCCTCGGAGCTAATAAACCACGCTGTGCTCCTTCCCCTTAACAGTCCGGCTCTGGCCTTCCCAGGAACAGCCTCAGAGGAAGCCCTGTGATCTTGGGAAGAGGACACTCACTTTGGGAGGTTGGGAGGCTGGGGGGCTTAGGAGCAGGTGTGGGGTGGGGGCAGTCAAATGCCAACCCTGCACCTCCTCACAGGCGCCTCTCCCCACTTGCCCAGGCCTAGATCCTGCCAGAAGGAACCACGCATCCCGCCTGCAGGGAACGCCGTGTTTTCCTTTGAGGATGATCTGAGGAGGGAGGGGACGGCTGTGGGCTGTGGCCTGTGGCCCCAGGGTTCCGAGGAAGCTGGCATCACGGGAACACGACTGTACTCTGCAGGACTCACCAACCATCCTCCTTGGCCCTAAGCTTCCCCCACAACCCCAGGGGAGATAGATGGGGCGCATGGTCTTATCCCCACGTTACAGGTGGGGAAACAAGCTGGGAGAGATGGAGGAACTTAATGAGGTCAGAGAGAGAGGAGGGGCAAGGAGAGCCCATTGCTGGGCATCCTGTTCTCCTTGCCCAGGAAAGCTGCCATCGAGACCCCATTTCCAAAACCTAGGTCCCAGGGGGCACAGTGGGTGGCGCCAAGTAAGCACGGTGGTCCAGGTAAAGGTGACCCCACTGCCAGCTCCTGCCTGGGGGGAGGGTGATACCTTTAGTTTGTTTGTTTAGCTGCATTGCACTTATTTCCCCAACCAGGGATCAAACCTGCACCCTCCGCAGTGAGAGCACAGAGTCCTAACGACTGGACTGCTGGGGAGGTTCCCGGGAGAGGGACACCTTCACGCCGTCATCCACACACCGCCATCCCCACGCGGCTGCCCGCCCCCCACTCCCCTTACCTTGTTAAACTGGAAGAGGTCCCTCTTGAGCCTCTCCCTCGCAGGGTCGTGTCCAGGCCTCAGGAACCTCCTCATCTTGTTGTGTGCGGCCCCCTGGGGAAAGTGGGGAGTGGCTGAGCACCTGGCAAGGGAGGCCCCAGAGCCGGGCCCAGCGCCCAATGCGTGCGGCCTCCCTCCCCGAGCCTGCAGGTGGCCGAGCCCTGGGCCGGTCCAGCTTCACTTCACCCTCCGCGCTTCCCCTTCCCATAGGCCTGTCGCTAGAGTGCGCTTCCCTAACAGGAAACCGGAGGGAGGGAGCCCTGTACCTGTAGGCCCTCAGTTAATGCTCTGACGCTTGCTCCAGGCCACCTGTGGCCCTTGTAAAGCAAACGGGAGAAGCTGGGGGAGGAAGCCATTTAGCCCGGCTTTATAGGAACAAGAAGGGCCAGAGGCCCCGAGGTCAATTAAGCTTAATTGTTAACCTGTTTTCTGGAGAACCATAAAACTCTGGCTACACAGAAAGGGAAACTTCACAAGCCTCTGTCTCCAGAACCGGGGGGAAGTGGGAATGCAAAGGCGGTCCACCTGTGCTCACAGATCAGAACGCAGATTGGGGAGGGGGAAGGCCCAGGGGAACTCCCGCAGGGGTCCAGCACCCCTGCGCAGACTCTTCCTTCCGACTTCAGGGAAGGCTGTCCGGGGGCTCTGGGCTGAGGCTGCTCCCACCATCCCCCCCCACACCGGTACCCACGTGGGAGCTGGGTCCACCCCCATGGATGCTGGGGCCTCCGCAGCCCCAGGCTTCAGCCCCACCTCCCTGTCTCATCTCTGGCTCTCCCAGGTCCAGCGCCCCTGGGCTCTGATGGGGTGCGCTGGTTTTCCCATGGGCCCAAGTGGAGGCTCATCAGGAGAAGAAACCTGCTCCCAATAAAGAAACCAGCTCAAGGCCCCCAAACTGCCCGCCCACCACAGAACACATTCCCCAGTCCAAGGGGAACTATTTCTGGCTCATCCTTGGGGAAGAGGGTGGGATCACATGGGCTCCAGCTTCCGGCTTCCAAGAGCACAACCTCCCACTGACCACAGGACGCCAGGGCCTGTCCTTGGAAACACAGGGGCCCAGGCCCACCCCGGAAACGGCTTCCCATTTGAGGGGAGCCAGAGAAGGCCCCACTCCTCCAAGGACCAGCAGACAGCCAGGAAACTCCCAGGTGCCTGCTTGGCCCGAGGCCCTGCAGCAGGTTTGGGGAACAAACATGGGAAAGTCCCGCAGGCTCCTGGGAGTGAGGACAGACTGCGGGCCGGCTGCAGCGACCTCCTGGACAAACAGCCGAGCTGGTGGCCAGGCATTCCAGCCATGGGGGAGGGCGCACCAGCTCATCAGCCGGCTGCCCCGGGCTCCTGGGGGTGCCACTCCCCCTCCCCGGCTCTGGCCACTGGGTCAGAAGTCAGAGGAAGCCAGGAGGGTTGCCCCGGAGGAGGAGAGGGGCCCGCAGACTCCAGGGCAGAGCTGCCCTGGACTCTGCCCGGGGGACCCTCATAGCGCCTGGGGTCAAGCGGGCACAGGGCCGTCTGTACTGAGGACCCACACGAGCCCAAGGGTAACACTGCACAGTCCTGGGGAAGATGTGCAGGTGGGGGGCACCCCCACGTGGGGAGGGAGGACGGACGCTCCATCCACCCAGCTACCCCTCGGGGGCCCTGCTGCCTATCAGGCACTGAAACACACCTTTGTGAGTTAGAGCAAGGTGCACCCGAACCTCATCCTGGGTGTTCATTCACCTTCCAGAAGCCTCCTTGGAAGGTAAGTGGAATATCCCCACTTGGCAGACAAGGAAATGAAGACCACAGAGGCTGGGCAACTTGTCAGATCACTGAGAAGGGACGGACAGAATGCAGATTGCCCCCAGGAGTGGCGGATTCCCGACTCTTGGGGCTCTGGGAGGCAGCCAAGGAGGCATACAACAGGACAGAGGATGCCTGGTTATAGCCCCGGGTTCAAAGGCACAGATGCACATAGACACACTCCCACATGCCTTCAACTCGGGGTCAAGTAAGCAGAGGCGTGGCCGCCGGCAAGCTGTGGCTGGGCAGAGCTGGGTGGCCTTGCCTGCCCCTGCCACTCACTCCACCGCGGGCTGGGACACCAGCGGCCTGGGGGGACAGAGTCGGGACCATGGTGGGGTAGACACTGCATCTGCTCCTCACTCCAACCCACCCTTCAGAGTAGCTCCCAATACAGAAACACTGCCCAAGACGGGGCCTAAAAAGAGCCATCCCGTCTCGAGGGAGGACAGGTCTGAGACGGGCTGGACTCAGCTCCAGGCAAAGCCTCGGCTCCACTCACCCCAGACAAGCAGGTTCTCTGCGGAGAAACTTCAGGAACCTGGGCCTGCCTGGAGCTTCCGGGGGTGGAACAGATGCTATCGACTCAACCCAGTGCTAAGCAGGGGAAAAAGACGTCAGGGAAAAAGCCCAGGCTCGAGCACCGCAGCGGGGCGGCCCTCAGGGCAGTTCCTGGAGGCCCAGGGAGTTGGTCTGCTGTGAGCAGTGGGCGCAGTGCCTAACTCCAGGGCCTGGCACGGAGCAAACCCCGTCCTCGGACTACGCGTACAAGATCCTCTGACAGCCAGACGAGCTCCTCTAGTTCGCCAAGCTTACACCCTGGCAGGGGGGTGTGGTGACTCACAGGTACACGAAATCAGTTGGCAGGCTGGTTTCAGGTAGAGATCAGAGCCTCCAGGAAAACGGGAAGACGCTTTGACGGAGGGACCAGGGTGGTCAGAAAGACCTGGTCAACTTTCCCGGGTCTGGGTCTCTGCATCTACCGCTCCTTCTGCCTGGGACACTTTTCCTCCAGATGCTCTCACGCCTCCCACCCTCACCTCTTCCCCCGTGGAGCTCACTGAATGAATGAATGGAGGTGACAATACCTCCACTCCATCCTGGATGGCGGGAAGCAGTCAGCCTTGGGAGGATTCGGGGCAGCACGTGTCCGGCGGCCAGAACATGCTTGCTGTGCGCCTGGAGGGGGGCCAGGCGCAGGTAACAGGAGGGACGCCGTAGGTCGGAAGGGGCTCCTGGTGGGCCACAGCGAAGAGTTTTGGTTTGTCCCCACTGGGGACCCCCTGACAGTCCTGGGCAGGGGGCTGATGGGGTCCACCCTCTCCTCCCCCACTGTGACCCCCTCTGCTTGGCCCTCTGACCATCTGCTAGGCCCCCCGCACAAGTCCCATTCACTTTGGTTTCCATGCTTTTGTCTTCACGATTCTCTCTGAAATAACCTTCTTGCCCCTCTGGCAGCATATTAAAAAATCATCTGCCGTATGGCACAGGGAACTCTGTTCAATGCTATGGGGCAGCCTGGATGGGAGGGGGGTTTGGGGGAGAATGGATATATGTATCACCACCAAGTCCCTTTGCTATTCACCTGAAACTATCACAACATTGTTAATTAGCTATACCCCCATATAAAATAAAAACTTTTTTTTTCATCACCTTCCGAAAGCATCTGAACCTACCCTGACCACGCTCACCGTGCTCCCTCAGCGCTGGACTGCACCTTAGGCTAAAATGATGTCTAAAACCACCGTGGACGCGGGCACCCATTGAGCTTCATGGATGCCCTCCCCCACCTTGTCATGCTGATCATTAAGCTACTAGGAAAAGTCAGTGGCCACCTAAGCGGCCAACAGCAGGGGACGGGTGAAGGGCGCTCAGCCCCACGACGGGAGGCAGACGGTCACGAAAAGGGCAGGAGATGATGGCTGTGGAAACATATGTCCAGTGCATCCGGGGAGTCGGGAAGAATCTATTAAAAATATTTACATAAGTTGACAACACACTGGAGGGGTTATGGGATTACCAGTGATGTTTTTCCTCCTTTCTGATTATCTGCCTCCCAGGAAGGGAGATAAGATCACACGGAGGGGGGGCCCAGGCAGCGGCCAGGTGTGAGGACAATCCTGCGCTCACAGTAGGCCCTCAGTCCTGTTGGGGGACAATCGCTCCTGCCGCACCCCCCGCCTCCGCCACTATGGACCCTGGATTGAGAGCAGCGGCAGGGAGCAGACAGGTGGGTGGAACCAGCTGTGTGACCTCAGCCTTCAGGGGCCCAGGCCTGGGCTGTTACTACTTCGCGGGCCGTGATCAAGGGTGGGGGCGGCCGTGAGCTTCAACAGGAAGGCCTGGGAGGGGACTGGCGAGCTCTCAGGTGCTACACACATCAATGCCACTTCTACCACAAGGGAGGTGGGAGAGGAGGTCAGGGCCCCTCCAAGCTAAGGAGCCCCCCGCCACGTCTGATGCCAAGAAGAAAGTCACTCAGTCGTGTCCGACTCTTTGCAACCCATGGACTGTAGCCTGCCAGGCTCCTCTGTCCATGGAACTCTCCAGGGAAGAATACTCGGGAGTAAGTTGCCTTGCCCTTCTCCGGGGGATCTTCCCGACCCAGGGATCGAACCCAAGTCTCCTGCCTTGCAGGCAGATTCTTTACCAACTCACTGGAGATGGGGGAGCTCTGAGGGTCCTGGTTTCCTGTGCTGGGGAATCCACCTGGCTAGAGCATGACTCCTGGTGGGGGGTCGGGGGCGGCTTCCTGAGAAGAAACACCTTCTCCATCCCCTGAACTTTCTGTAGACTGCCCAAGAGAACTTTCTGAAGGCTCCCAAGAGGAGCCTGGTGGGCTACAGCCCATGGGCTGCAAAGAGTCAGACACTACTGAGTGACTTTCTTCTTGGCATCAGACATGGTGGGGGCTCCTTAGCTTGGAGGGGCCTCAACTTCTTCTCCCACATCCCTCGTGGTAGAAGCAGCACTGATGTGTACGGCACTCGGCCTCTGATCCTGCCCACCACACCCTCTGTCTGTCACCACACCTACCTGTGGGCCACCCTCCCTGCTCCGCCCAGCTCTCTGGTCCCTCCGGGGTGGGCGCTTAGGGCTTAGGGTCTGCTGGCCACGAGGCTTGCCGACCTGGGGCTCATTTGTACTTGCTCTGCCCCGCAGGTCTGTGCCTCGTGCGTGGAGCTGGTCTGAAAGGTCCCCGCGGGCTGCTGGCCTAGCAATCCCCTCCCTTTCACTGCTCCAATCGTCCAACACTACTTCTGGCTAAAATTGGTCTCCCCTCACCCTGATGCCCACCCTGGGGAAAAAAAAAAACAGGAGAGCTGCCTACTTGGCTAGATTGTTGTTTAGTCGCTAAGTGGTGTCTCTTTTGCGACCCCAGGGACCGTGGCCCACCAGGCTCCTCTGTCCATGGAATTCTCCAGGCAATACTGGAGTGAGTTACATTTCCTTCTCCAGGGGATCATCCCAACCCAGGGATTGAACCTGCCTCTCCTGCATTGGCAGGTGGGTTTTTTTTTTTTTTTTAACCACTAGCCACCTGGGAAGCCCGCCTACTTGGCCACAGGCTAGTATAATCACACCTGGTCTTCCCTTCCCATCCCTGCTCAGACCCTCATGGGTAGGGGATGCACACAGACCTGCTGGAGGCAGAGAAGAAACACGCACGGGGGCGGGCTTGTCTCGGCTCCCCGCCCTAAGCAGCAGTTCTGATTGTGTCACAGGGAAGAAAAAGGGGTTGGTTCTCAGAACAGACAGCTCGTCCCATGCTGGCATGGTTTGGGGCACCTGGGCTCATTTATCCCCAGGAAACAAAGGCTTGACCAAGCCGTGCCAGCCTGTCCTGGAGGTGTGTAATGGGCCAGCCCTCCCAGAAGGTCCCTTCATGGCCTGGGCTGCTGGGAGAGGCTACATCTGGAAGCAGCACTCTGGACACCTGGGGCCCACGGGAGAGAAGGCTCCTGGAAGCCACGGGAGCATGTGTCCCTTGTTCACAATCGCTGGGAGCACGCCCGGTGTGGGGCACAGCCCTGGCTCAAGCCAGCTCCCCACAGCCTGCTGCTGCTGAAACCGCCCTCCCTTCCCCGACATCCTGTGTGAGGCCCGTGTGGCTTTGGCCTCCGTCTGCCGGGTGTGAGCATGCCCCTGCACCTCCCACCCCGGGGGAATGGTAAGGCAGGGCTCTAAGCGCCCAGGGCAGGGCTGACCCCTCCGGCATCTGCCCGTGCCAACTCAGATGCCCACGGCTGCTCTGCTGGAGCCTGGGTTGTCCTGGGAAACCCAACCCCCCAGAGGCACCAGGCAGCCCCTGGCCAGCAGCTTAGCAACCAAACCTTGGCTGAAAGGGCACCTCTGTGGAGGTGGGACTACAGAGAGGAGGCAGGAACCACAGAACTGTTGTCGCTGCTGTTGTTAGGTAATAAAAGCGACTGAGAGGGAAGTGCGGCCAGATGCTGCTTGAAGCACTCGACAAGCATCATCTCATGTAATTCTCCCAACTACTTATGAAACAGCTAATTCCAAGTGCTAGCAAGCCTGAGAGGAGCCCAAGTCGCATCCCGAACTCCAACCAGACTGCAGAGCATTTGCTCAGTTCAAGCCTCCCTCCCAGGACAAAGGGGCTCCCCAAGAGCCCTCGCCCTCCCTGGCTGGGTCCAGGTCAGTCGCCACCCCCTCACGCCCCACTGCCCATCCCATGGAGCCACAGGCCAGTCCTCCCACCCTGGTCCCTCCCACCACCCCCAGGGTCCTCCTGCAGGGTGCAGGGGTGGGAAGTCAGAATGCCTGCATCTCTCCACATCCCCATTATGGGGTACTCAGCCCTCACCTGCTATCTAACCCCAGCCTCCCTCCAGGGAAGTGACAGACTGGGATTGGCCAAATACGGGGAAAAGCAAAGCCATTCTGGGGAGAAGACAGATGACTGACTTGCCTGGGGTCGGGGTGGGTAAGCTGCCTGGTTCATCCCATCAAACTCCATAACATGACCTCCGACTTGCCTAAAACTTGAGAGGCCGACCCATGGAGCTTTCAGGATATGTCAGCCCCAGGATGGAGGGATCAGACCATGCCTGATCTTCCATGGTTGTATCTCCAATGCTTAGAGCCCTGACACATGAGAGGCACCGAATTTTATTTAAAGAACTCCCTCACTTCCTGTAGGGCTTCCCCGGTAGCTCACCAGTAAAGAATCTACCTGCAACGCAGGAGATGCGGGTTCCATCCCTGGGTCAGGAAGTTTCCCCTGGAGGAGCGCATGGCAACCCACGCCAGTATTCTTGCCTGGAGAATCCCCTTGGACAGAGGAGCTTGGCGGGTCCCAAAGAGTCAGACACGACTGACCGAGCAAGGTAAGGCACCTTCTGAAAGCCTGTAACCTTTTTGACAAAGCCCATCCTGACACCTTTTTAAAGTTGCAACCTGCCTCCCTCCCAAGTGGTCTCAATCCCCTGCCTCAGTTCTTACTCTATAGCTCTACAGAGTATAGAACTTACTCTATAGCTCATATTGCCTTTTAGCAGATTATCTATTACCTACACTTATTCCTGGCCACTCAAGATTCCCACCCTTTAGAACAGGAGTCCTGTGACAGTTGAGATCTTTGCTAGGTGCAAGGATTACGCCTGGTGTCTAAAGCACACCGCACATACAGAGACACTAACAAATACCTGTTGAATAAATGAACAGCTGGGACTGAATGGGGATCAAGTAGGCAAACATGTTCTCCTGGTAGGAGCCACTGATACTAAAGAGCACGGGGCTGGGGCCCCAGGGAAACTCCCTGTTCTCAAGTCTCGGGCCAAGGCCAGGGCCATGTGCATATTACACCTGACATGGGGCTGGGGAGACCTTTATGGACCCTGTCTTAGCCCCAGGTTTCAGGACACCTGGCTCCTTGGCAAGGAGATCCAACAATAACATTATCTACTAGAGTCAAACAGTCCTGCGCCTGGATGTCCCTCTCATCAAAGCCTGGGAATACTGAGTCAGGTGTCTCGAGAAAAGTCTCCGGTCTCTGCTGGATTCCTGAAGGGTAGAGTCAGGTGCCTAGCCGCTTCCCTGTCCCCACGCCCAGAGAAGCCTCTCCTAGCTCAAGAATTCACTGTGGCTCCTGGGGAGGGGAAGGTGTGGGGTGACTCCTCCGAGGACCAGTTTCCTCTGAGAGGCAGGGCGGGGGGAGAAGGCCACCCCCAAGGGAGGTGGACAAAGCCCCACGGGGACAGTCCACAGTGGGGGAGGCTCTCCCGGGGACCCTGGGGAGCCGAGGCTGGAGAAGGGCAAACAGTACCAGCAGCCCCAGGGGGGCCCCATCTTCCGTCCCACACCCCACTTCTCCCTGCAAAGGACTCCAGGGCCGGGGAAAACGATGCCAAAGAGACCCACCGAGCCTCGACCCAGGAGGAGCCCTGATAGTGCTATCGCCCGAGTGAGATAAGAAGGCCTCTCCAGGCTGAGTACTCAGGATAAGTGGGTCCAGGCCACCAGTGCTGCTTAAAGCAGCCAACCCAGGGGCGGAGGCCATGGGCCTCCTGGGCCTTCGCCAGGCCCCTGATTCGGGTGTCTCAAAAGCTGCGGCTGACACGCCTGGGAGGACCCTTCTGGGGACGCCACATTGCGTCCTGACTCCCGCCAGGGCTGCTCAGTGTCTCCAACAGGGTAGACGGCGGGGCGCAGGCTGATGGCAGAGGATCCACCCTTCCCAGCTCTGTGCACCACCTTCTCTATGGGAGGGAGGGTCCTGGGGCCAGGAAGTCCTGGCAGGAGACACCTCTTCCCTGAATGAGGTTGAGGGGAGGCACGACAGAGCCCACAGAAAAATCTCCTTAATGGTGGCAGAGCAGCCCAGGAACGCACTCCCACCGCCCACCCACCAGGGTGCAGAATCTGTAACAGTCAAGCCTGCCCCAGAGCACAAAGCGGAAGAGATTAGATTGTACACACACACACACTCCCCCCAGGAAAGGCTGTCCCAGCTGGGGTCCAGCCATCAGGCCTCACTCTCGGCTTTTCCAAATAGCAGAAATACCGAGGGCCACTGGAACCGAAGTGAGTTAGGAGAGGCCTCTGTCCTCTACCTCAGCCCTCCAAGAAGCAACAGCCTCATTCTCAAAGTTCTCATTCTCCAGAGGTTTTCAGAAATCGGGATTTCTGGACAGAGACGCCAACTGCCCTCACGACCCGTCAGGCCTCAGAAGGCCCCGGCATCCGCCCTAAGGCTTGCTGCAAGTGACCGCATGACTTTTATGCTTCGTGGGGAGGCTTAAGCAGCTCACCCTCACCTGGCGCTGGCCAGGACCAGGTGTTTATGATATTTTTCATCCTCTCGTCAACATCTGTAAAAACAAGGCTCACTGAGGTTTGGCATGGTTAAGTAACAGAGTCAAGGGCATGTAGTAAAAAATCAGCATGGCACAATTCAAAACTATCCCTGCATCTGGAAAGACACTAAAAACCTTACTTAGGGCTTCCTGGTTGTTCAGTGGTAAGGAATCCACCTTAAGGAGACACAGGTTCAATCCCTGGTCTGGGAAGATCCCACATGATGCATGGCAACTAAGCCCATTTGCCACAACTATTGAGCGTGTGCTCTTGACCTCAGGAGCCACAATTACTGAGCCCATGTACTGCAACTATTGAAGCCCGTGCACCCTAGAGCCCATGCTCCGCAACAAAAAGTCACTGCAACGAGAAGTCTGCACACCGCAGCTAGAGTAGCCTCCACTCGCCATGACTGGAGAAAAGCCCATGCAGCAGAGAAGACCTAGCACAATCAAAAAAAAAAAAAAAAACCAAAGGAAAAGAAAGCAAGCACTACACCTGAGGCAAGACTATGAAGCAAGAGGGAAGTTTTTTCCCTCTTATTTTCCTCTTTCTAAAATGCTTCATTTGCCCCAGGGAGCTCCTACTACCCTTAAAATTTTTGAACCTATTACGGGTTATCTGGGATTAAGGCACTTTTTAGATGCTACTAAGGAGTAAGTTGGGCTTCCCTTGTGGCTCAGCGATAAAGAATCCACCAGCCAATGCAGGACACTGGGTTTGATCCCAGGGTCTGGAAGATCCCCTGGAGAAGGAAATGGTAACCCACTCCTGTATTCTTGCCTGGGAAATCCCATGGACAGAGGAATCTGGCGGGTTACAGTCCATGGGGTGGGGAAAGAATCCGACAGGACTTAGCAACTAAACAATAACAAAGGACTAAGTTACTAAATTAATAAAATTATATTAATCTGCTGCTAAAGGGGATGCTCCTTTGACTCAGAGAAGACTAGGGATGCAGGATGACCTAGACCTTGGAAACAACTGCCCAAGGGCTCCCACTGAGATTGGCCCCATCTAACTTGAGAGAAGGGCAGCAGGCACTCAGAGCTTGGTATGAGTCCTCACTGAGCACTGTGGCAGATGGTTGAAGAAAACCAAATCCGAATGCCCTGTGCATAACGTAAAGAAGCTGGCCCATCTCTTCCAGGACCATTCCCATGCTTCAGCTCACAAAGACCCTGACGCTCTTCCTCAGAAGCCACTTCTGCCCTTGGCTCCCCGCTGAGCTGGGCCAGGGCTCTTCAGTACTGCTGCTCTGCGCCTCCCACCTGGGGTTTCCTGTCTCCATGACACACAACCCCTCCTTCCCCTCTCTGCTCTGAATCCCCTCCCCAGATTGAAAAGACCCTGAGTTGTAAACTCTGGGAAGGGTCCCTAGAGCCAAGGTTAACACGCCCTGCATCTGGCACAAGGATCCCCAAAGGAAGGGCGCTGAGTCTACGCCCCGCCCACCTCACCCAAAGCTCACCTGTCTCAGGTGAGAGCCTCAGGGGGCCACTACCACAGCTCTCCTGGTAACCGTCAGTTCTCCCCGCAGCCCAAAGTCAGGGTGCCTGCGAACCGTCCAGCCCCGAGAAAACCAGGAGCAAACTGCACTTTCTTTGGCACAACAGAATTTCTCACTTTTCGCCAAACCCCAGCGTCCCGCAGCGCAACCCCACCACCGTGGCCGAGGAAAAGAGCCTGGGTTTCCATCACGTCCCCCAAAGGGAGCCAAAGCTGCCTGAGGCGGAGAAAGGCCCCAAGACCCAAGTCCCTCCCTCGGGCTTCCTGCGTCCGGGGATTAGGAGGCACAAAGGGGCGGCAGGGAGAGGGCCCAGATGGCAGGGGTAGGGGCTAAGCCGCCGACGTAACGCGCTCCGGCCCCCGCGGGCGCGCGTCGCCGGCCTCTCCGGCCAGGCGCCCTACACGTGGGGCCCAAGCCCCGGGGGCTCTGTTTCCGCCCGCAGTGACCCTCGCACCCAGCCGGGCCGAGCACCTGTTCCGCGGCTCTACCAAGCCGACACGATTGTGCAAGCCCGAAACTCAAATTCTGTGATCGCGGGCGGATCCGGCACGGAAAAGTTCCCAGCCGCACTTTCTACAGGTGTCTGTCTCCCAGACGAGCGGAGCGACGGGATCCGGGGAGAGGCGAACGGACTCGCGCGCAGCCCTTCCCCGCCCGGGGAAGCCAGGGGTCCCGGCCCTCCCTTGCCTCCCCGCTCCTGCTGGCGGGCGCCCCGAGGGGGCGGCCTCGGCCAGGTGGGCCCCGGCCCGCACCTCACCTGGAACCCCAGGCCGGCCCCCGCCCGAGGCCTCCGAGTCCTCCTTCGGCACCCGCCGCCGGCTCCGCTCGCTCCGCCGCGGGCCCGCGGGCTGCTGGGCGGCAGTCTCCTTCCTGCTCACCTCCGGCGCGGCGAGCAGGGGGCGGGGCCGCCGCTATTTACATAAAGGGCGAGCCGGCCCGGAGCGCCAGGCCCCAGCGGCCCCGCCCCCCTGGCCTGGTCCCGCCCCCCGGCCGTCGAGGCGGAGGTGCCGCGCCGGCGCCCTCGGGTGGGCGGGACTGCGCTCGGGCCAATCCGCGGCCCCGTCCCGCTCGGAGGCGGGGCCCCGTCCCGTGTGAATATGCACGAGGCACTGCCGGCCCGCCCCCAGCCTCACCTGCGCGCACCTTGGGCCGCAGGACTGCTGCGCCGCGCCCAGTGTCCCGCCGCCTCCTGGAGGAGGAAATAGTCCCGGAACGCGCGCCAGCCCCGGGCCACCTCCCAGGCCCGGCGGCAGAGGGGAGCGGTCTCTCCCACAACCCGGCCCCGGGCTGCCCCGGAGGGAGGGGCAAAGCCCTCCCTGCTCTTCCTGAAAGCGCCCAACCCCAGCAGGGAGGAGAACCGGCGGACACAGGGCCAAGTTTCGGGACGGAGAGCTAGGTGCTTTGGGAACAGGGGCGTCGCCGAAGCACCTCCTCTCCGGGCGGGCCCCAAGCCTGAGCCCTCTTCCAAGTTGCCGACAGCGGCAGCAGCAGCAACCGGAATTTTTAGCACAACGAGGGAGGGGAATTGGAACGACGAGAGGGGAGAGGAACGGGGGCGGGGCGGGGCGGGGGCGGCCGAGGCCTGGGCGTGGATGGCACGCTCCACCGCACAGTTTGAAACGACTAGCGTTCGAGCCACGCCAACGTGGCGCCTCTCCGCCACCCCTCTACCCGGAGCCCGCTGCGTTCTGGGAAGGAACAGTGGAGTGCCAACCTCCCACCTCTGACTACCCTTCTGAAAGCCAAACTAGAGGTTAGTGACTTCCCGGAAAAAGGCTTGGGGTCGCATTTCTGCCCTCCAGTGGGCTGCTTCTAGCTCTTGGACCAGAGAAAGCAGCGCTGTGGGTGGGGAGGGCCTGGGGGCCAATTCCACGGACGAAGGATAGTGGGGTAGGGAGGACTCGTCCAGTAAATCCAGCCACATCAGTAAAAGGATATATATATATTTTTTAATGGCTTTGGCTTTATCGCATGAAGCAGGCACCCTCTCATTTAAAGGCACGGAGTCTTCTCTTCTGCCCCACCTCGCTGGCCTCTTGGAATCTAGTCCTGAATTCCAAGGGGATTACTGCAAGGCAGCAGTCTCAGAGCTGGGGCTTGGAAGCGCTGCAGCGGCCAGGTAGCAGGGCAAGGCTTTGCTCTCCTGTGGGCATCAGACACCCAAGGCCAAGGCCCAGACTAGCCTCTGAAGCTACAGGTCAGAGTCTGGGTGTAGGAGGCAACTGCGATGGTCCCTGAGAGTGGACAGTCCAGGTCCCCCAGGGCAGACCCCAGCTGGGTGGTCAGTGTTCCAGATCCCTGGGCAGCGTGAAGTCCCTGAAGCTGTAGAAGGAGATGTCTCCATGATCCACTAGGGCAAAAATCAGAGGGACATCCCCGCTCTGGTAGGACAACCGCTTGAGGGTGCAGAGGTCTGGGACTGGCTCATCAGATCTGCAAGAATCAAGGTTAGACTAAGACCTGGACAGAGCCACCCATAAGCTTTGAGAAGCCAGCCCTCCTAAACTCCCAGGGAAGGCCAATGTATGACAGGAGTTGGGGGGACGAGAAGTCTGGCCCCGGGCTCTCATGTCTGCAAACCGCACGGTTCTGATTCTCCAAGTAACACACAGAGCCCTGGGTGGGTAAGGAGACTGGGAATAGTGAGGCTCTTGCCTCTCTTTTAGCCCGGAAACCCCTCGTTCACATCCTTTTGCTGGCTGAGCCTGGAAATGAAGTGGCCCAGGAGAGAAGCTACTCGAAAAGGACAAGAGTGAGCTGAGGATGACGAAGTTTGGGTTCCTGTAGCACTAACTGGCTGTGTGACCTCTCTGGACTGCTCGTTCTTCTCAGGGACTGAAGACTAGCGGGGGAGGGGGGCATGGAGGGGACGTCCACGTGATTTACAAGAGGACTCGAAGCCACGCTCACTGGTCTCGTACCCGCTAATGCACAGCCGGACATAGGGCTTGCCAGGGTTATTCTTTCGAAAGGTGGCCACGGCGTCAGCCTGGTAGACATCAAAGCTGATCTCCAAGCCCCCGGGCTTCTCCAGCAGCCTGAGGACAGAGTGAGAAACCTTAGGAGACAGAGGCACTCCTATCCCACCTTTTCTTTCCATACCACCTTTTTCCTCCCCCAGTTTCAGGGAGCAGCCTCCTCCAGGCAGTGACCCTATCTCAGAACCAGTGGGATAAATCATCAGTCTACTTGGCTCTTACTCCCGCGGACACACATGAGTATTATTACCAGGGTAGGGGCCCCTGAAATGATCCTCCAGCTCATGCCCAACCTCAGGAGTCAAATCCCAGCTGCCAACTCCTGCTGGCGCCCCAAGTGCTATAGATGTGGGCACTAGCTGGAGACTCACCGGGCGCCTCCATCAGCAAGGTGGGTTGTCCGCATCACAGAGATCTGCTGAACGACTGTGGCTACAAGGGCGGCGAAAACAAGGCACTGGGGAAGAGAGTCAACCATCCAGACCCCTGACGTCTCTGAACCTGCCACCTTGCTCGGGGTTGCCAAATTTAGCAGAGTTTTTTAAGTACAGGTATGTCTCATGCATGGAGAAGGAAATAGCAACCCACTCCAGTATTCTTGCCTGGACAGAGGAGTCTGGCGAGCTCCAGTCATGGGGCCACAAAGAGTTGGACACAACCGGGCAACCAACACACACGTCTCATGCAATATTTGAAACATACTTATACTAAAAAAAAGTTGTTTATCTGAAATTCAAATTTAGCTGCTCTGGCAACCCCACTCTAGTTCCTTACAACGCACCACATTCCCGTAAGGATTGTAGTCCTGAATTCATTAGCACTGTTCTTGTCTTATTCTCTACTTTTAACAAGTAGGGTATATAGGAGACCTTCCTTTTATTTGGCCAACATATCACCCCCTTGCTCCCCTCTAACAGAGGTGGGAGAGCAGGGGGCCACAGCCATCCACATGCATCTCTATGATTTTAAGGATGCGGTTGTAGTTTACATTCCTCCTCACCTCTCCTCAGGCACCGACCAGGCTGTTTCTAAACCTTTCCACGAGCCTCTTCGCTGCTTCCCGGAGCAGATGATCCCTGTGGGTTCCACTCCACCCACCGCTCTCTCCTCCCCCATCTTTCTTAAGCCTCCATCAGCTGTAGTCAACGCATGCCACTTTTAAAGGCCTGTGATTCCTCGGCTGCCCGTGGCCTATGGCAGGGTGACAGGGTACCTGGGGAGTCGGCCCGACCAGGACTCAGCAAGGGGGTGACAGGCTGGTCCCACAGGTGTGGGGGGCGGCTCTGGGTCTTCTGCAGGTGCCGCCGTTGCAGCAGCTGCTTGTACTCCTGCCAGCCAGAGCAGCGCTGCACCTCGGGGTCAGCGTTCACATCCTCTCGGAAGTGCTGGGCCTCTGCCTGTCGCTCCCGTTCCCGCCGAGACAGCTTCTCCTTCCGCTGGTTGAGCCTCTGGCACCAGGACTCTGTGTCCGTCTCCCGTCCAGCCACGTTGGCTGGGAGCAGCTCGGGGGCGGGGGCGAGCAGGAGGGTATGGCGGCTGTCCGCAGCCATGTTGGGGAAGGAGATCTGCTCAAAGTTCCAGCGGGGCTTACAAGCCCCCATGACCCCATCCTCTATTTTGCCATTCTCTGGGCTGCATTGCGGTCCCTCCCTGCCCAGACCAGGGCAGGGCTCCAGGGACCCCAGAAGCTGAAGGGGCCCCACGGGGCTCTTTACGGGGCTTGACTCCTGGGGTTCCTCCTCTGGGTGGCAGCTGTTCTGGTTCTGGGGAGGTGGGCTGCAGGTTGCTGGGCTCTCAGGTGTCCCATCCATCCCCTGCAGGGGGTTCTGCAGGGCCTTGGGCTTCTTATTAATGGACCTGAGGGACGTGGGGAGGAAACGCAGCCCATCTGCTCCTGATTGCTGAGGTCCACGTGACCCCCACAGGCCCTACGCCTCCCTGAGCCCCCACTGGGAGCCGCCCCAGCCCAGCTCTTAAGCCTAGCCAGTCTCCAAGGTCCCAAACACCAGCACTCCCACAGAACTCTCCCTGCGGGGAGGCCATGCGGGGAGCGTTACTGAGAGCTGGAGCGCCTCCTCTTCCTCTTGCCCTCCAGGCACGGGGCACCGCTGTCCAAGTTCAGCTGCCGCTCATAAGGGGACAGGACGGAGCTGTGGGTGAGAATGGGGTGGGGAGCGGGCAACTGATCCACGTCCTCAGTCTGCTGCTCCCCTTGGAATGTGTGAGGGACTGGCCCAGAGTAAGTCAGTGGGCCAGGGCTAGAACCTTAACCAAGGGCTGGAGCCCCAGGCAGACCCCACCCAGAGTAACAGGGGCAGACACAGGGGCCTCCCTGTGCATCTCTGTCCAGGTCTCTGGGTCTCATCAGTGGCACCTTTGAACAGAGTTTCCCTGACACCAGGGCTCCTACAGAGCCACCAATAAATAATTAACACTGGTGAGAAAAGTCAGGAGGACTGGAAAACTTGGAAAATAAGGGAAAATGAAAATAAAACCCATGGATACCACTGTAACATTTTGTTTCCTACAAACACACATATTGACTGTCTTTCTCCATCAAAAATGACACTGTACTAACATACTGCTGTTTGGTCCTTTTTTATACTCAACAATACATCATGGCCCTTTATTATAGCATCATCCCCGCCATGAGTTTTCTTTTTTTTTAAGGCTGTGAAGTCCATTATAGTAGCCCTAGATACAAGGGGCTATTTAAGTTAAATTTAAATCTATTAAAATTAAAAACTCCACAAGCCACATATACCGGACAACACAGACATAGAATATTTTTGTCACTACAGAAAGTTCTATCAGATAGTGCTGCTCTAAGGCATAAACTCTAATCCGTGTGACCATGTTTTCCCTGTTCAGCTTATAGGAGGTTTCCAAGATCACTGATTTTGCAAAGTGATGGTGTTCTGTGTAAGCACCCCTAAACACAAGTC